CATATATATATTTATATTTAGTAGGCCACACGGACATGAAAGCAGATAAATAACATTAATAGAGCGACAAGTAAGAATTTCTGAATTTTGTATTGTTTTTTTAGTGGTGTGGCTAACGAAAGAATTAGCCTTCTTGTGGTTTTGACAAGAAGTGCAGTGACGACAAGGAAAGAAGCTAGTGGGTCCGTCAATGCTTCCTCCTGCAACATATGCTTCCTGCTCTGATCATTGGAGCAGGATATATTTTGCTACTTCTTACACGGTAGAGCAAACAAGTGACCTAAAAGTAAAAACACATAACAATCAATGTCTGCCTTCATCAAGGTTAGATGAAGTCAGAAACTGATGACAAATTAATAGACTGGAAACTTGTGACACCAACCTTTGGTTCTGCAGATCTCAATCAGATTGACCACGTTCTCATGTTTGAGCAGCTGCAAGATCTTGATCTCTCTCAGAGCTGTGATTGGGAACTGAAACAAAGCAGTCCGAGGAAATTCTTTTAATTAATGTGTAGAAACACTGCGGCACCAATATGAATTCAGCATGGTGTCAATTTATGCAGCCCGAGCAGAGCAAAGACATGCAGTACTGTGAGCACAGGATGTATCCAGCAGTTAATTAAGAGTTTAACACAGATGTTTCACTGTCAAGTTTTTTGTTGGTTGAGTTTTACATTTTGAAGTAAGGATATGTAAAAGAGGCTGAAACTACATTAGTGAAAGAGGCCTGGCCAATGAGCAGTAATTGCAATTTGGATAAACCTCAGACTTCAAACACATAACTGAGATAAGAAACAGTTTTTAAAAGGATTATTCCAATTTATTACAACTTCAGTCTCATTTTCCATCTGACTTAATTTTCTGACATTCCAGAAATCAGCACTACATAATACCATAGTTATATCAATAGCAATACAAAAATAAGACTTTACTTGTATCAAGCCAGAATTATCCTTTAATATGACTTTCCAGTCAAATGGATAAAAACACTTTGAGTCCACATCAACAGTTGCCATCAGTGAAATACAGGTATCCAAACCATAAGTGACTCTGAATGGTCTCTTACCCCTTCTTTCTCATTTTCCATCAGAACTTTCTTCAGCGCGACCTTCTTCCCAGTCTGTCTGTGCTTTGCTTTAAACACCTCCCTGAGAAGTCATTACATCATAAGAGACAACTGACATAAATACTTTATTTTTAACTCTCACAGGAAAAGAACAAAATAACGCTACATTACAACGATACACTGGTAGATTCCTAGTTCTTGTTGTAGCATAAATGAGACTTAAAAGAAGAGGGACTCACTCAGACACTGAGTTGCACATTTAAGGGTCTTTTGATCTCAAAAAAGCCCCAGAATTGATGCGTCATGACGTTTTTTTTTATTGTCATATTCTCACCTCCTTCTCCTTTTCTCTTTGTGGGTAGTTAGTGCATATTAACTAACTTACGGACTACAACGTCCCTCTACTAGCATCCAGTTCTTTGACTATGTAAGCTACGTTTTTAAAGAGTCTCCTGAACATATAAGAGATATCTGGTCCTTAACACAGCTGCCCACACGAAGAAAAGCACATTGTTTATGTCCAGCTACTTGTTCTCTTGTAACGTTAGCCTCTAGAGCTAACGTTTATGCTTATGACTTAAGTTAGCTGTTAGCACAGCTTACGTTAACCAAACAAACACTCAAAACGTATTCACAGATAAACTCACATGATATAATATTTGTGTATTACTCACCCGAAAGTTCCTTGTCCTATTTTTGCCATCTTTTCATATTTGGAGAACTCGTCACAGAAAGGAAATTCAACTCCATCGTAGTATTTCGACATTATGGCGGCCTCTCGGTCGGGCCTGAAGAGACATTTCGTATCATATTAGGACTCCTAAGTTCGAACAAGAGCTTCATCAAACGTCTCTAGTAGTAGTAATCAAATTCATGAAAACACAAATGTTTTGTAGGTACAAGTGTAAACAGTTATTTTCTTACTTTTCAGCTCCGCCGGCATTGCTTGTCTTCTCTCGCTGCATTCTCGCCAGTTCTCAGGATGTCTGTTACGCCTGCTGCGTTCAAGTTCTTCTTCTTCGTCTTCTCTCAATTTATTGGCGGATCACAAACAACTTCCAGGTGCATACCGCCACCTACTGTACAAGAGTGTGCAACATCATGTCATTTAGCCTGTTTCTTAAATCCTACTCATCAGCCTAGTGTCCTTTAAGAAATGAAGTGCCTTCCTTGTGGTTTTAACCCCCTCTCCCTCTGTTCCCAGAATCCCACTCACAAGTCCTGCCTCTCTGGCTTTATCCTGCAGCCTTTCTCATTCTATTTCATACATGTGACAGTACAGTAGAATATTTTCAGCGTTTTCTTTTACTCCACAGTTCTCACACTTATCACTATTCCTTTTCCCCATAACATACAGCGTGCCATTTAGTCCTGTGTGATCTAATCTGAGTCTTGTTATGACTCTTTCCTCCCTTCTGTTCCTTTCTTTATAATTCTTTATTATGATAGACTTTTGTATTTTGTGGTATCCCTGTCCTTTCTGGTCTTCCTTCCACCTTTTCTGCCATATTTCCATTCCCTTCATCCTTATCACCGCTTTCCCTTCTCCTTTCGTTAGTGGAACTGGTACTGTTATTTCCTTTCCCAGAGCTGTTTTTGCTAATTTATCAGCACACTCATTCCCTGCAGAACTGTACTTCTGTACCGCCCCTGTGTATTCTGAACAAACTGTGATAAATGTCAATGAGTAAGTCTTCTCCTCCGGATGATGTTGATTGAATACTTTCCACTACGGCGCATACCACCACCCTATCTGGTCTGACCTCTTCCACCATCTGTAACCCAATGCGTTTAAGTTCTATTCGGGCTCCTAGGCTTCAGCAGTGTAAGGAATAGTTTAATCAGTAAAGCAAACAATGGTCATAGAATGACATAGAAACACATACCTCTTATTGAAGTTATTTATATATAGTGCAATTTAATAACACATAAATGAATAAAATATTATTTGTAGTCTAACTGTTTTTGTGAAACTGATCATCAGAACAGTACTTGAAGGCAGCAACATCGGTCAATATTAGTGGAATGAACTGGCAGCGACATCTGGCGACCGGGAGGAGTAATACCGCCTGCCAAAATGTGCACATTAAAATGTAGAGGCACTACTTATTTTGATGTGCAGTGCGTCAAAGTGGTCAAAGGTTTTGTAAAAAAAAAAAAAAAAAAGTTAAAGGGTGAGCAAATGATACAGTTTTTTAATTTATCATCAATGTCACTGTGAGTATATCTGTGGCTATAACTATAGCGAGCAAACCAGGTGAAACTTCCCTTTTATTTCATAATGAACCATTTTCTTATTTTCTTTGCTGAATAAAATGAAATGCTAACATTGGCTGTGTAAATTATTAGGAGCATCTTTAGATTTATAAAATGTTTTATATGATATTCAATATTCAGGGAATATAATAATATAATCTATTATATTATGCCCAGTCTACATGGACTTATCAGACACCAAAATACAAATTAAATGCACCATAATATCAAGGACCTAATAAAATAAAAAGACAAAATTACATTTTATGTAAGCATTATTTATATATGATATATTATATTTATGAATTCATTAATTATGAAAAAGATGGAACCTTTTATAACTGGCTTGTGAAAATGGGGGCGTGTCGTGACGCATTGCGTATGTGTACGTAACCTCCCATATTTGGCTATAGCTTCCTGTGACAGCTCGACGCCCCATGATGGTGTGCATGTCCAGCGTGTGGCAGCGGGGCTTCGTGTTTGCCGCGCGGCTCCGAAAGCACAGGGCGTATGGTTTGGCGGGTTTTTCATCCAGGTACTACAGCACCACCAAGACTGCACCTCATATACCAGGCATGGAGTACCAGGTACGTTGTGTTCCAGTCTCTTCTCCCTATCTTTCCCCGGCTGCTAGCGAGCTAGCTAGTACTAGTTTGATAAGTTTGTCACACTGCTCTGAGTGACTGATACAGTTTTGACATGGATAGAACATGGCTGACAGGCCATTATGAGGATACATAAACTTTAGCCGACACGGTGCGGCTACAAGCTGTCAGAGAAGCTGTTGGTTGCTGAGTGACTGTGCTATGAAAAGTTACGGCGTGGACAGAGCTCGCAGCACACTGTCAGTTGTACTTCTGCTAATGCCACACTGCTGACTCAACGTCAAAGTTCAACCAGTGAACAAACACGTGCTCTAAAGCTTTGATACCATATGGGAGTTGGACTTGGACCAGTTTCACATTAAGTGTACACTGAATTGTTTACCTTTTTTTATGTGGCTTGTTTTGTTTCCACACAGCATAAGTAAAACTACTACATCTTAAGAGCTGTATAAAAATGGAACTGTTAAGACAGTCAGTAAAAATACACTGACCTTTCTTCACTTGTTGCAGCTTACATTAATGCAAATGGAGATGACACAGTCACTGTCAATGACATATGTGCCACAGTACCGTCACCTCGTGTAGATAAAGCAACCAGTTACATTAATCATTAATCATGTTATATTAATCATATTTATTTCAGCACCCTCTGCACTCTGCACCATTGCACTATTGTCCTCCTGTTTACAAATCATTATCACTGATTTATATTCAATAAGGATATCATTTATTTATAACTGTACATAGCGGTTAAATGTTTGATAACCTTGTTCAGCTTTGTTGTCCTTGTTTTAGCTGTATGTCTAAGTACACTGAGAGCAACGAAAAGCTAGAGTCAAATTCCTTGAATATGATGCACCTTGGCCAATAAAACTGATTCCAAAATGACTTGGCCAATGTTGATGGGTTATGCCTTCCTGCTAGTTAAGTTTGCAACTAAAAATGATCTTTATTATTGATTAATCTGAGAGTTAGATGACAAGATACCACTATCATTTCTACCCTGTGCGGTGAATATTAAACTTCCATGAGCAGCTGCTTAGCTTAGTAAGTATAAAGACTGGACACAAGGGGAAACAAAATCCACCTACCAGCAGCACCTTTTCAAAGCTCATTAATTATCATGTAACATAGTAGATCTTGTTTAATCAGTGCAATAACCAAAGTCTCACAGTTCACTGTTATGCAACTTTCCAAACAATTTATTGACCGTGACCAGTTGGCAGCCAAGCAGCACTTGTGTCAATCTTCTCATCTGATTCTTAATAAGAAACAAGGAATTGAGGGACCCACTAAAAGCAGGAAATGTTGGGAGTTTCTTAATGCTGCTCCTGCAGTTTCACCAGAGGTCTAAAATTAAAGCATTAATTGTATTTTAAGAAAATAGATTACATGAACATCTTGAGCAGGAGAGTCTGTGCTGCAGTGAGGTCGAGTCAGGGGAGTGTCTGTAATGAAGGTGGCTGAGAGCATACCTGCCATAAAAGGTGATGCGGCGTTGTTAAGCCCTGTATACTCCACAGGAACAGAGAAATTTGTTCTTTTTCTCGAGGTGGCAAGAACAAGAACAAAGTTCGTTCTGGCTAGTACATTTCATACTTCACAAGAAACTCAAGTGCAGAACTCCTGGAAAGTCCTCATAGGCCCCTCCCACTGCCGCACTTTCCGCATTAACCATGTCCTCTTCAAATTTCTGACCAATCACACAATAGTTCTTGGACACCACAAAGTTTTGCCCAGTTGATGTGTCTAGAACAAGCTGCAAGAACTCCCAGACTCAGGCTGCTAGCCCTGGGAGAGAGAACAAATTTCTCTGTTCTTGCAGAGTGTGTAAAGGCCTTTAGACTTTACTGCAGATAATCTTGCCATGGGTATTTAGCTCAGGAGGCTTGACAGAAATGGTAAGCACTGAGACCAATTTTGCAGGAGGCCCAGCTAGAAATACTCAGTCTACATGTAAATGTGTTGTATTTGAATGAAAATGTCCTTTAGTAAATTCATCATGACTTCTGTCATAGAGAGATAGATAGAGAGATAACTTTATTGTCCACCTCAGTGGAAATTTTTGTCTTTGGCTTCTCCTAAAAATCAAAGGTACATACAAAGGTACATTCTGTGTTTATTGCCTGTATGGCATAGGGAATAATGTTCCGACTGGTTCTTGGGACCCTAAATAGACACCCAGACGGAAGCAGCTCAAACTCTGAGTGTAATCATTGTGTAATCATATATTGCTGAGTTGTTCCTGTGAAATTGGCAATCACTCTCCCTGCAATGTTGACTATCTTGGAGAGCTTGTTTTTGCTCTTTGCACTCAGGTTGCTATAATGTTGTGCTGTAATGTTAAATGATAAAATGATTTCAATCAGGCTTCCGTGTGCTATTTCAAGTATGTGTTGGCTACACAGGCAAACAACAGTGATGACAGCACACAGCCCTGTGGTGTCCCCCACTATTTAAAACAAGCTCATCTGAGTGGACCCCATTCATAGCAGCTGTTCTGTTTTGTTGTCTGTGGAGCTTTCTCAGATTGTGTCTCTTGATGACTCCACTTCTTGTCAACTTGCTTGACAGACAAGGCTGGTGTTAGTCTGTATTTTTGTTTTTGTAAACTAACCAATGTGTTAGTCCATCTAATACTTTCTGACTTCCCTGCCTTGTCTGGTTTTCAGTCCAATGCTCCTTGGTTAGTGCAGAATATGTAAAAATATGCAAATCTTTAAAAATGGCTTAGTAATTTTCTAAAACAGCTGGACACTGTAGTTTTTAGCTAATGTTGCTGAAATAGTGCATTTGTTTGGGACTGTTTTCTAAGGCGGATTGGTCCAAATTTGTTCTAGTGAGTATTTGTGGCAGAAGGACGGTGAATGTGGTATTGACTCAGAGAAAACTATTGTGTGTGTGTGCGCATGTGCGTGTGTTCGTGGTAGGGCTGGGTGGGTATTTACAGGCTGGCGATACACAATATATGTCTCCATATTTTCTATGAGATGGTCTACATGTTTTACAAGTCAAAGCCACATCTGAGATGTCACAGGCAGTTATATAAAAACAAACTGATCAAAATAAAATGCATTTTATTTCCCTGTTTGAAAATACACAGCCGCACAGTATGTATATGAAATAGGGGTGAGTTCGTGTAGCTACAAAAATCTCTAAACGTTTAGAGTGGGTCCTTTTTTTCACCGCTGGGTGGTGCTATTGCATTATACCAGTAAAGCCCCAGTTATCCAAATACCAACCGAACGGGCCATTTAACCAACGGTTACAGGCCGCCATTCCGACGGACGGTCCGCCATCCTGAATTCTGGTCCCTGAGTCCTGACAGTAAGCTATGGCGAGCCTGTAGAAGCTGTATTCCCCCATGGATGTAAGCAATTTTCACCAGGGACGCACGCGAGTAATTCAGGCTGACTTTACCTGTTTTTCAGCGAACTCCTCTGGTAATTTTATTAAAAGGCATGGCATATAGGTCCACAGTAACTTATCATTATTATTATTATTATTATTAGTATTATCATTATTATTATTATTATTATTGGGTCTTATAAGAGTAGGCTACAATGAGTATCGGGCCATCAAATCACAGCATCCGCGGTGAGAGGACACGGAATTGTGTGCGTTTTTACGCACGCGGGTAGGCGATCACGGATATTTGATGTGGGAAAGATGTAGCCAGATGTATTACCTGTTTTAGATACATGGCTCGTCTGTCCGTCCGTCCGTAGCACGAGTCATGTGCGCCACTTCACCACCGACCCGTGCGTAAAAGCGCAAACAATTCCGTGTACTCTCACCGAGAATGCTGTGATTTGATGGCCCGGTACTCATTGTAGCCCACTGTCGAATGACCCCCTTAACGGCTGCGCTGTTTTAATAGAACTGAGCACGTAGGCTACTGACCTGTTGCCAAACACCATCTCTTGTCATATTCACAGTCTATCACAGTTAGTCAACAATTAGTATCACCCTCCTCCCCCCAAAAAAAAGCAAAACGTTTTTCGTGTACTAATTTTTCATAACCGTTTATGATCTCAAACACATGTAAACGTGTACACAGACTCACACCTAATATGAAAAATGAAATAAAATAAATATCAGGGCTGTGTGTTAACTTTTTTGACATAGCACTGGAGCTCCAGAGGTTAAAAGGTGTACAGCACAGGCCACAAAAGTATTACATGAGTATAAAAGTATCAAGCAGGCCTAAATCCATTGTAGTTTAGAACAATTAAAAATATTTGTTGGGGGAATTAAAAAGTCAATTTCCATGGCCTTTCAAATGAATCTAGCGCTGGAAAACAATTTCAACATTTGTGTATATTTAGGCTATTAGGCTAATCTTAGACTACAACTACCAAGAAGAATGGTGAAGCGCTATGATCCACCTCACACACAAACTAACAGTGCAGCGCTGGATTGCACATGTGCTGCTGTAATTTTATTCATCTCACAGATTTAGCGTAGCACGTGCAACATATAGACTGATATCGCACTGTAGACTAATGAACAGACAGATTGAACAGAGGAGCAGCTCTGTGTTTATTGTAGTGTTGCTGGAGAACTTGTGAGTGAGTGGGGCAGAGCTGTGCAGAGTTTTATGTAACAAAACTTGACCCTGTATCAATATGAACGGTGTTGTCTAAATCTATATCTTGCTTGAAAATATATCGATATATCGCACATAGTCGTTACATTGCCCAGCCTAGTTCATGGTAATGAAGGAACACGTCAACCAGTGACACATTGTGTCTCACTGATGTGTTTTAATCATTTTTGATAACAATGGAGCTCTATGGCGCAGAGGAAGAAGCTATATTAGGCTTTTATATGCACACAGTAGGCCTACTTATTAGATACAGTCATTGGGGGTGTTTGTTTGCTGTTGGGATTTCTAGAGTGCTGTAGGGATGACATTTGTCTGTACACTGACACAGAAGTTAGCAACTCCTTGATTCCCTCCCTCATCAAAAGGCCTATGGATTTTTTCATTGGATTTTGGATTATTGCCAAAAAGTGGCAAACAAATGTTTGATACTTACATGTTTTGTTCAGCAAGATAATCTTAACAAATGAACACCACTTTTATGATTTTTGATGCTTAAATGCAATGCCAGATGTAAAAAGGTAATGTTATGCGAGAAACTGCATGACAGTCACATCCCTTAACATCACCACCGCAACGAGGCTGTAAAGCCACATTCGGTGTGATAACGTTCTGTAGTCTCATTTAGCAACCACCTTCTTTAAGACGCATAGAAACTTCAAAATTCACAGCAGAGTATTTACTAACGAATTTTACTTCATAGAACAAAACCTGAATGTCTCGTGAGCTTGTGTTGACCACAGACCTTATTTCAGGCATCTAACCAAAAACCCATTAAAAAACCCATTGACTTCTTCAAGATGAGGGGACCAGAAGTTTCAAAATGCTAACTCATTTCTAGGTTTTAGGACTCCCGCAGCACTCTGTTGACGAAAAATAAAGAATATCATCACACTTACCCTTTAGGCTTGCAGAAGTTAGAAGAGAGTTGGGGTACAACTAATCATGCTTTTCATAATTGTTTATTCTATTATTTTCATTTCAGAAAATAGTAATAAAAATACCTACTGTTAATTCAGCATCTTGCCAGTTGAAAATGGTGCATTAGAAATGAGTTATTTTGTGTCAATAGATTAAATGATGGATATAAAAGTCATTTCTGCATTTCAAGGCCCAGCTTAAGAAAAGAAATTACATTTTGATCTATGTTAGCTGACCAATCCAGTGGAGTCATCTCATCAGTTAACTGATGAATATGAGCGGGCTTTGATACAGTATACTATCAGACAGCAAGTCATGATACCCTGACACACCTTAAAGGGAAATTTCGGTTTATTTCAACCCGTCTCCTATCGTCCTAAATTTGGTTCAAGTGACTAGTGACATATATATAATAGTTAGCATGTTAGCTTTTAGCCTAGATTCAGCCGTAGTGTCAGACCTGTTAAAACTTAATTGAACGGGCATCCCTTCAAGTGCAAAGTTAGTCCACTAAACAAGCTTTTTTCCCACAAAGACCGCCTCATATCGTTAGGATAAATGTCAGAGAACATATAGAAAATGACATGTAAACGTGTTGTCTTACCTTACCGGTGTGGTGCCATGTTTGTTTACCATTTAGCTCTGCTTTCCAAAGCGCAGCCAAAATATCGCAAGAACAAGCAGCGATCTCATAGTGTCCCTGAACAAGCAGCAACAGCTGGAAGGCAGAACCGGATGGTTGCCTGAACGGAGGAGGAGGAGGAGGAGAGAGAGAGAGAGGCGCAACAGGTAACATTAGAGGACGAGAGAGGAGGAATGGCTGCCACAAGGCTGCATAGCTCTGGAGATTGGTGGTGTGCCTGTGAATGCTGTGCCCCAGTGCCCACAGAAGAGGAATGCCTCTGTTGCAAGGAATGGGACTGGTTGCAGCCTTATTTTCTAGGTCTGGATGTGACCGAGGACGAGACACCTCCACCTGGATTAACGTTAGTATCCAGCTGGGCTTTATCTAGAGCTGGCGAGATATATTTCGGCTGCGCTTTGGAAAGCAGAGCTAGAGGGATAAACAAACATGGCACCACACCGGTAAGGTAAGACAACATGTTTACATGTCATTTTCTATATGTTCTCTGACATTTATCCTAATGATATGAGGCGGTCTTTGTGGAAAAAAAGCTTGTTTAGTGGACTAACTTTGCACTTGAAGGTATGCCCGTTCAATTACGTTTTAACAGGTCTGACACTACTATGCGCCCCGGTTGTATCTAGGCTAACGGCTAACATGCTAACTATTATTTTTATGTCACTAGTCACTTGAACCAAATTTAGGACGATAGGAGATGGGTTGAAATAAACCAAAATTTCCCTTTAACATGTTGCTCCAACTGAGCATGTGCATGTAAAATCAAAAAGCTGCTTGTATGATTAATTCCATGGTGGACTTGTGTTTTACACACCGTAATAAGTCAAAGGCTGTGACAGACCTCTGGTTCCATGCTGTGTAGATTATGGTGTTGTTGTTTTTTAAATCGTCGTGCTGTTCGAAAAATTTCACTCTCTGCTTTTGCTACAGGATGCCATTTGCACTTTGAACACACTACAGACCAATGCCAGTTGTCTGGAGCAGGTACGACAGGAGCGCAGCAACCCTCAGCTGCAGCTCCAGGCCATGAGAGGCTTCCTGGAAAGATCCGGTCTCACAGTGAGTCAGCTAGGTCAAATACTATGCATACAACAGTGACCACTTAAAGGATTACAAAGAATGTTGTCTGATGTGATACAGCTTTTGATTTATCTGATGCATGTGTGTTTGTGTTTCAAAGGTGGAGGAACTAGACCACCTCAATATCATTCATGTGACAGGGACAAAGGGCAAGGTGAGCTAACAAGAGCTGCTTGTGTGTGATGTATGTTGCATTTTTAAAGGCCCAGTTAGTAATTCTTTGATCATACAAGTCACACACAGATGTATTTACACATAGAACTGAAGAGACTTAATGATTGATCTATAATAATTTGCAGTTAGCATTGAGATCATAGACTGTCCTTTTTAGTATTGACCTCTTAGGTCTCATTATGCAAGCTCTGACAAAAGGTCATAAAAACATGTTTGCAACTTTGCGTTCATTCACTGAGGGACACAAACTGTTGTGACAGCTTTACGAGGCCTCTAGCTGTTTGCGTTTGTCTTTCAGGGGTCAACATGTGCGTTCACTGAGCAGATTTTGAGAAGTTATGGCTTCCGCACAGGATTTTACAGGTAAAACTGCTGTCTGTGAACAAACTTCACACTATTTGACCCAGAGGGAAGAAATTGCCAATACAGTCTCTACTTCTTGTCTTGAAACCATAGACAGATGGAGTGTCACTGTTTTCAACAATCAACTGTTTTTGATTGCTTAGATTCTGCTCAAATTTAGCCATTTTATGTAATTAAAGGTGAGCGATATATCAGATATACTCTGTGTATCGCAGCTTGTTCCATGTGCGATGTATAAAATGGCTGTATAGCGAACATTGAGTATAAATAGTCACATTGTGTTTTTTTAAGTCACCAGCATGGGACTCATTTCGGTGTTTCGGTTCTCTCGCTCTCCCCTTTGGCGCTTTCCCTCTCGCAAACACACACACACACACACAAAGAAAGACGCAGGAACATGATACATCACACACACTCCTAAGCCAATCCAGATCACTTTCTCCCGAGTGATAGCAGGCGAGGTGTGTTTGTTGCAAATATGATTACTACTATAGGCCATACTGTAGCGTGAGAAGTGGAAGCGTCTGTCTTTGTACCTGTAGGCTCCAGACCGTGACTATTCAGTCACATTGAGCACCAGTGCCACTTGAAAATACTATTAATATATGAACTGTAGAGCTGTTACTTTGTTTCCATCTCACAGTGGATAAATACATCACGTTCAAAGGCACAGAGAAAACCTTTTAAATTTGTGCTAACTGCTTACATCTAACTATTGACTGGGGACTTCAAATTTACAAAACATCATCACTTCCAGCCCGAAATGAGCAGAATGCTTCAAAATGAAAGCACCAGTGGTTCTGCCTCAATTAATTTAATTAAAATAAATCTTCAATTCAGTGGTTCCCAACTGGTGGGTCACGGTCAAAAATTGGGTCAAAGATCCATTCTGAATGGACCACAAGTGACTTGCAAACGTGTCAAGTTTGTTTTTATTTTGAAGTGCAGTGAAATTCCGGCACAGACCTTTTACTTTGAAGTGATTTTCAAAATACCCTAATATATATTGTGTATCGCCATGTAGCCTAAAAATATCACAATATTATTTTTAAGCTATATCACCCAGCGGCAGTGTTGTTCTTCCTGTTCTACCTGTTCTCGCTGATGCTGCATGAGTGCAGCATATGCTTGGGATTATGTGAGGTCACTGAACTCCATGCACCAATAAGAATGATTGATAAAGGTGTAATTTGTCCCACCCTAGCAAGTGCAACAAAACATGAGAGTGAGTATGCCAATGAAATACTGTTGGCACTCACCCACACACTCCTGAGATGAGCTGTAATCATTAATCCAAATAACGTTAAATCACCTGTGTGGTTAGACCGTTACTGTGCAGGGTCTTTAAAAAGCAGCCATTGAGAAGAAATGTCAGAACACTAAAAACTGCTTATAGTGATCAAAAAGCTGGAGACAGAATTGTTCCAATACAAATGCTGTGTAAATAATTAGCATATAGTAATCAAGATGTCGTGTCATACATGAAAGGACCCAAGGGGAATGCACTGTCTGCACACTGATTCACAACAGGAAAAAGAAAACACAACAAATTTTCTCTCAGTCAAAAACATAGTCTCTTTGAAGCTTAAGACAGCTAGAATGTCCACAGGTGGTCGAAAGCCGCCTTCATGACGTAGGTTGATAATGCCGATTATATCCCGGTTATAAAACAGCTGTAGTGTACTTTGAACCAGTCAGCAAAATTTAGTTAATAGCTAAGCTGTCTGTTTCATTACTTTATATTCATATAGTAAACATATAAAAGTCAATTAGATGGTAATCTGCACAAGAAATGGAAAAAAAAGAAGGAAAAAATTAGTTACAATAATCATCCACTTATAGTGACCGATTTGACTTGGACAGACATGACACCACTTTATGCAGTTTCCACTGTATAACCATCGTCAGGTCTCTACTGTACAGCAGACTGCTCTTAGCTTTTAGTTATTTTTTGCTCTGTTTTGCGGATTGTGAGTCTTCTATCATGAATAAATCCTTTTAATGGCGTTCTGAACCCCCTCCTATTCGTTCCTGAATCACATGTTACATTTCTCTCACAAAATCCAGGCTATCACCCCACAGCAGGTTCTCTACAGAAGAGGCACCACCATATTGTTGATTGAAAGCTGTCCAACATAGCTACAGGAACTAAAATGGAATGGGGTTTAGGATGGATCAAGATTTTCTTTGCTTTGCCTTTTATTTGATAGAGTTACAGAAACACAAGAATAGAGCGGAATAAGATATCAAACTGTCGACATTGCGGTCACGTGGCAAAAGTCCCAAACCACTCATCCACCAGGATATCCCAGGGTTGGTCAGTTTAAACCCAGACAGGCCTTGATGAGGATCAGTTCTTTGAATACCTTGGTTTTAGATGACAACCTGTTCAAGACACACAAGAAGTCCAAAACTAGCTGTTAGTTGGTATCAGCCACATGTTAAGGTGGGTCTAACTTCAATACAGATAATTATCCAAATTCACATTATCACTAATGAATATGGAATAAAAAAGCTATTTTTGAAACACATTGAAGTGTTTCTTTATCTGTACTTGTCCACTCAAATTATTATAATTATTTTTCCCAGTTTGCTCATTTAGATTGTGAAAATATTTTCTCTGTAGCCTGTGCATCCTACCTTTGGTATTCTGAAGTTTAAAGGTCATTATGCAAAACAGTGCTCAAAGCTTGGGTTAAGCAATATATGAATACTTAAAGGGGTACTTTGCTGATTTTTCAACCAGCTTTTTATCATAACAATGTGGGTAGTATGTGTAAAAGAACTGTAGTAATCTTCCCTCCATCTAACCAGTGCCTAGATCTCCCTGCTCCCCTCCCAGCCAAACTTCACTGGATGATACATTTTGCTGGCGCTCCCAGCTGTTATTCAAACTACAGGCTGTACTTAAGCATATTCGTATTGCCCACCAACCTTGCTGCCACCACAAACAGAGTATAGAAGGTGTTCAAGAGACGGACCCACCCCTCTCTCTCTGTCTCTGTCTCTCAAACTCCAACCAAAACTAATCAAATGTGTTGATCAAATAAAAACCAAGGTTCTATGACTGCACCACCTATTTCTCACCCAAAATGTTTTCAGAAATATATTTTAGTGCTGTTTAGCTGCAATACGAGAGTTTTTGAAGAGATAGTCGGCACCATACTGCTTCCTGCATAGTGAAAACGGAGGCTGAAAACACTGAGATCAAATGGTAAAACTAAGCAGTGCTGAGATATATAAGATTTTGTTAGTGTGTTGCCTCTTTCTCACTTTCTCATGTTTTCAGAAAAATGTAAATGAAAATTGCTATTGTAATGCTCTTGAGAAAAAGTGAATGCTGCAGTCCTTTTCCTCTGTTTTCTTTGGTCATTAATACCAATTTCAAAAGTATTTGCATCTTTCTACTGCATTGACAGCTCAGTTTTATGAAAATACCATCTTTCCAGCAGTGAAATTTTATTATTTTAACAATACAGTGGTATGGCTTGTTTTTAAGTTATTCATTCCTTCACATCACCCAGCTACACTGGAAGCCCACTTCCACAGTGAAACATGAGGCTAACTTCCTCAACAGTACTGATAATAATCAATACATTTTGTACTTTGTAATCCATTGTTCGATCACCTAGTAAAGATCCTTGCAGGTAAAAATAGAGAAATAGTCTGAGTAGCCTGGAAAAAACAATCAATGGCAGGAGGAGAGACTGAGCATGTTTCCTTGTAGAGTATACTGTTTAACATCATGTATCATTACATACATTTAATTTAGAATACTATACATGGACACATTCATTTTGAGATAGAACATCGTTCTAATAACAAAATTCATAATTACATGTGTAATGCAGATTTAACATCTATATTGATGCACTTTGCCAAGGTATTTATTTTCTTATACTCAGCCAGTGAAAAGTGGCTTAACAACCTCTTTTGATGTTTATTTTCTGGTCGTAGTTCCCCACATTTGGTACAAGTCAGGGAGAGGATCCGAATCAACGGACAGCCCATTGGAAAAGAGCTCTTCACTAAATATTTCTGGCAGGTTTATGGACGGCTGGATGAAACTAAGGTAGGTCATGGCAAAGATGCATCGTATTAAAACACAGCTCTTTAACTGTTTTCTAACTGAAAATGGACTGGTTGGACAGAAACCTGACTGCCAGAATAATCATGGCTACTCATTGACTTCATTAAATGATTCAACAGATTAATCTTTAATCCTCTAAAAGTGACAGCTGGCATTCTGAGGAGTGATGTCTGTGGCATTTTATCTGACTGTGCGTCCTGTTTGTATTCCCAGCCTGAGTAGAGCTTCAGCCTGGATTATCACTGTCACAGGTTGTAATTCAGTCAGTAGAAAATAAGACTCCTCATGTCCGGATGAGCATGACCCTCATGTGACAGTGTGCTTTATCACATTACCAGCGGTCAGTGTGCAGTTTGACTCATTAAGGAGGCTTTCACATCAGGGCCCCAGGCCCGGAGCAGAGTGCACTTGACCACAAAGTCCAGAGCATTTGATCAGTGTGAACACTGTGTACACTTACAGTTACGTTGAGCTACGGTTATAGCTCGACTGGGTCATTCAATTGGACTACTGCCCTTGTCCCAGTATACAGGCACAGGAGGGGAATTGATTTATTGACCGAAGTATGTCTGACTCTGCTACAATAGGTGGCGATAGCCCAGGACAAAAACTGTGGAGCATGTGCAGAGCGCCTCAGCCAGTTTGGGTCCGACTGACTGTATACATGCAGGAGTAAACAATAGTAGCAGTGTTTCCCCTACCATTACATAAGGGGGGCGCTGCCTGGCAGGGGAGTGGAAACTGCCCCGGCAGTCATACTCAGGCGTGGTATGAATCAATCGTACCTAATATGAAGGCGCCCTGAATGCTTCAGACACATTTGGTCAGTCATTTAAAAAAAATCATGCCATTTAGAAGTGACACAGCTGAGATAATCAGAAAATTGTGAAAATGACTGTATTTACTGTAATTGGAAATGGGACATTTGAGCAGTTACAATGATGGATGGACTGTCCATTCACAAGTTTACTCCAGTTGGGTGTTCTTTTTAGGATTCCTTTATGCCCTGTGGGATGAGTGCACAGAGCTATAAATACATCTGACACATTATCAGTGTTTAAAGTCGATATATGGAATATGCTAGCACACAGTTGCCGTTCATCAGACACAGAGTAACATAAGCATTCATTTGAAGTTGTGTCTCAGGTTATCCACCTGATAGTTAGAAGTCCAATATTAACTGGCCTTTCAGCTCTGTTTGGGCCTCTATCATCTCCTGAGGGAAATATTTGACTCTGTAGCTGCTAAATGCTCCACTATGTTCACTAGCTAGTCGCTGACTGTGTCTGTCTGGGTGCTTGACAGCAAGTGTACTGTTGGTTTATCAGAGCTTTTTCACCAAACACATCCGTGGCTTAAAAAAAAAAAAGAGTGCAGAGAGTTATACTGCATCTTTCATCAAAATTGGTGTATGAATGTGCATTTTTTTGTAACACAACTTGTCACGTTTGATGTCACATATACAGTGATAAAAGTACAACACTCACTAGCAACATTCAGTGTCTGGCGGATCTGCTTCTATGCTTTTCTATCTTTGTTGTGATGGTTTCTGTCTGACACATCATACAGTAGCTAAATGAGCAGTAGTGACGTCACCAGTGCCTTTGGAGGCCAGCAAAATTGTTAGGTTGTTTGGTCCTGGGGAGCCCTTCGTAAAAAAAAAAGTTCTCCCAGTGCTGTTTTCAATTATGTCCTGCAGGTTTTGTTTCTACGACAACAATATCTTGACACTAATTTTAGCTAGGTAGCTAATGTAATGCTACATTAATTGAAGGATGACTACACAGTTAACAAGCTTACAAAGCACATGGTGATAAACATTCACTGTTTGGCGGATCTGCTCCCACTAACAGGCATTTGTGTCTTTGCTGTGACAGTGGACAGCTGGTCTAGCTGAAGAAGTGGTAGTGATGTCACCAGCACCTTTCTGAAAACTTCAGAGATATTCAAATAGAAGCGCTCGGAGAGGCTGCACAAAAAAATCCAAAGCGCTCTGGAAAAACACAGGTGGATGCAGCGCTCTGTCTTTAAGTGGCCGTCTGCATCTGTATACACTCTCTTCATTGGGAACAATTAATAAAAGATGGTGGCGCTTAAAAAAAAAATGCTATGCAGACACATGCCCTTATGATGGTTACTTCTTTTTATATCCCTTACTTTTTCAGTCTATCAAACTTGGTGCCGGGTAATTTGGATTGATTTTTGAGCGCTGCTTAGATGGAGACGGGCGGTATTTTGTAGCTGTGTCTCATTGCATTGTGCCAGCAAAGGGGCTGAATTTAGAGTGTCCACTTGGTTGTCATATTTCCATCACTTCCAATCAGACCTGGAGCCGATAAATACCTGTGACTACTTCAGAGTCATTTGACGCGCGAGCAAATGCCAATTGTATCTTTTCCTGTTTAATAAAAAAGCCAGATGTTGGGTGTTGGTGAGTTTTTTGTGCAGTGGGATTGGGGCTTTTGCTAAACAGTGAAGATGTGGGCTGTAAAACTAAAATGCTGAATGCTGAAAGTAACCTCTGAAGAGCTGAGGGGAATGATCGTTCTCTGTGTTCATCACTACAAACGCCCTTCACATTAGACAGTCATTTGACCTGTTTATATGAATATATTGATCTGTGCAATTTTAAAGCACCATGTGTTGAATTTGAAACTTAGTTTTTGACGCAGTGGTGCTTTCACAAAGACACTGGCACTGAGATGAATAAGCTGAAAGCAAAGCGATAGACTACAGGACTGTTCTTTCTACAAACAAGAACATATTCTAGCGGAATTTTTTCTAAGGTGCTGTAGTCAGAAATATTCTACACATAAAAGCATTAACTGGTATTAACCTAGCATTACTGGTATATATTTCTATTTGCATAGAAACTCTGCAAACAAATGATATAGTAACTCTATTTCTTTAACCTCTTCAGGCTGCTCATGGAGGGACGATGCCGGCATACTTTCGTTTCCTCACCATCTTGGCCTTTCATGTGTTTCTTCAGGAGAAGGTACGCTGGCACACAAAAAAATAGGAACTCAGTGTTTCTAGTGAATAACACATATACATAAGAAGAAAACTTTTCATCAGAGATGAGTCATTCTGGCTGTTTGTTTTCACTCGTGTGCAGTGTCACAAAAGCTTGAAGACTGTCCAAAATGGAGAAGGTTCCTCTTGGTAAACGTCCTGGCTTTATGGCCTGTAATTGTTGAAATGTTTTGTCAGTGTCAGTGTGTTTGATCGAAAGACTGATCAACTGACATCACCATTCGCAAGCCGGCGAGCAGGGCAAAAAGTGTTACTATTTTGCCTGATTTAAAACAACTGTGTTCTTTGTTCAGGTGGATTTAGCTGTAATTGAAGTTGGGATTGGTGGAGCATATGACTGCACCAACATCATAAGGTAAGACTGACTTCCTACATCACAAATTACATTTATCTTTGATATCCATTTGTTGTAAAATGACTCAAGTTTCAGAGCAGAGGACAAATCAAACACTTGTGATCAAAGACTGTCTGTTAAAGAGCATTAATATCTTACATATTAGAGAATGACACTTTAGCTTTGGTTGTGCATGACTGAATTGATCAGTCGATCCATCAGAGCTGATCAGATGAGATTGATGGATGAGCTTTTTGTCAGTGGAAGCAAACTTAGACCCAGCGCAATGAACGGCTAGGTTTCACTTTCACTGCGCCTGGTGTTCTGCTGCTCCGTCTGTGGCCAGACTACACACGCACTTTGAGAGTGTGGAGCAATAAATAACCGAGCAGTATACATATTCCAATAGCGCATCCGATGAACAGTTCGGCTCCAAAAATAGTAAATCAAAATGTGGTGGTAGATGTTGTAATTGTACCACAAATAAATGAATGTGTGGGAAACCTGATGTTGGAGCCCTTAAAATTTGGTACAACACCAGTCTAACACTGTATATTAGCAGTTGGTTAAATAAAGGTTAAATAAAAATAAATATTAGCAGAAAATATTGAAACATCCATATTTTTACACTTAAGGGGATTGCCTGAGGCTCCAAAACCACTCATTTTGTCCTTTTTCCATTTTCAAGGGCCAGTAATGAAAAATATAACATCTGCTTGCCTGTCAATCATTTGAATCTGATGCACACTGTTATACCTGTGCCCCTACCAAATGTTATTGCTTTAGGAGTTATATTTATAAAGATATTGAACCCCAAAAATGGCTTTGTTGAAGTGTACAAAAATAAGACTTCCCAACTAAATCGGCAAAAACCTAGGCAGTTGTTAGAATTTAGCAAAAATATCCTACAGAATTTTAATTTTCAGTGTCAAACCACATACAAGAGAAAAAAAAATCTAAATGTGCACTTTTTGTTTTATCCATGAATATTAGTAGATCTCCACAACAGATACAGATGCAAACTTGAAGGTGATATTGGATGTAGAGGCTTCTTTAAGTAATTCTTCACCTCACAAATGACCATTTGTGTATGAATTACTCACCCTATATTACGTGGAATACATGAAGAAAACTTTGTTTTAGCCCTTCACAGTGAACTAAGAATCCAAAAAATGAGAAAATTGTTGATGAATTGGAGTAAAAAGGGGACTGAGTTTAACAAAAGCAAAATTATATCAAAACATCTTTTTTTAAACTCACCCAACTCGTGCAGTAAAATCCAAGTCTCATTTATCTAGTTGTATAATTTGTACTGTACAGAGAGAGAAACTTAATATATGTTCTCTTCAGAGCCAAACTCCATTGACAAAAACAGTAATTTTACCTCACTGTACACAGGAGCTGCTGGTCTACTACCACCACGATCAGTTTGTTTGTGTTGTGTGACTTTGGTATTTTAAAGGGTTAGATCGGATTCACCAAGTCACATTGTTGCTTAGCAAGATGCTTTATGACCACCTGTAGTTACTGATATACTGTCACCATAAAGTTGTGTTTTTACTTTATCAGTTGTAATAAAATTTGACCAGTGCCTTTTCTTCTCTTTGTTTGTGTTTACATAGGAGGCCGTGGGTGTGTGGCATCTCCTCCCTGGGTATAGACCACACTCAGATTCTTGGAGACACCATAGAAAAGATCGCCTGGCAAAAAGGAGGCATCTTTAAGGTAGGGATGCACGCGATTAGACATTTAAACAATTAAACGTCCGCTCCCTCACTAGTCGGCACCAGAAACATTACAGTTGCAATCAAAATTATTCAACCCCCATTGCATATTAGGCTTACTGGCAAAATGTACAATTTTTCAGCTGTTTGCAATAAACAAAGTAGACAAGAACAGTTGAAATAGTTTAATAAAACTAATATTACCATGGTTTTTATCCAAATTCAACACAAAATGCTACTTTTAATCACTACTGTAGTCTCAAAATTATTGAACCCCCTGTCTCAAGCACACCTGATGCAACTAATCAAGGGCTTCATTAGTTCAGGTGTGCTTGAGACAGAACACATAAATACCTGGACTGGCTAGGGTTTTGTTGAGAGTGACATTTGATTGCATGTTAGAAATATGGCTAAGTCAAAAGAATTGTCCAGAAAGTTGAGAGAAGAAATCATTGCCTTGCACAAACAAGGAAAAGGATACAAAAAGATAGCAAAAGCTCTGAATGTTCCTAGAGATACAGTTGGAAGCATAGTTCGCAAGTTCAAAGTTAAAGGAACAGTGGCTACACTACCTGGACGTGGCAGAAAGAGGAAACTATCAGCAGCTGCCACCAGATTCCTGAGGAGGCAAGTGGTCAAAAACCCTCGAGTGACTGCAAAACACCTGCGGCAAGACTTGGTGGCAGCAGGCACTGAGGTTTCAGTTTGTACAATAAGGCACATACTAAACACCGAAGGGCTCCATGCCTGGACTCCAAGACGTACACCACTACTGACCCAAAAGCACAAGAAAAGTCGGCTCCATTATGCTCAAAACCATATAAATAAGCCACAGAAGTTTTGGAATTCTGTTCTGTGGAGTGATGAAACAAAACTGGAACTTTTCGGGCCTATGGAACAGCGGTATGTCTGGAGGAAGAAGAATGAAGCATATGCTGAAAAGAACACCCTGCCTACAGTGAAGCATGGCGGTGGCTCAGTGATGCTCTGGGACTGCTTTGCTGCCTCTGGCACTGGAAACCTGCAGCGTGTGGAGGGCACGATGGATTCAGTCAAGTATCAGGAAATCTTAGGTAAAAACGTTGTGCCGTCTGTGAGGAAGCTGAAGCTTGGGTGTCATTGGACCTTCCAACAGGATAATGATCCCAAGCATACCTCAAAGTCCACCAAGGCTTGGTTTCAGAAGAAGAAATGGAAGATTCTAGAGTGGCCGTCACAGTCGCCTGACTTGAACCTCATAGAGAAAATCTGGTGGGATTTGAAGAAGGCGGTTGCAAAACTCACACCCAAGAATATTACTGAACTGGAGGCCATTGCCCATGAGGAATGGGCTAAGATTCCTCAGGAACGCTGTCTGAAGCTGGTGTCTGGCTATGCATCACGTTTGCAGCAGGTCATAACAGCAAAAGGGTGCTCTACTGAGTACTGAAGATGCTTGTCATGAAGGGGTTGAATAATTTTGAGACTGCAGTAGTCATTAAAAGTAGCATTTTGTGTTGAATTTGGATCAAAACCCTTGTAATATTAGTTTCATTGAACTACTTAAACAGTTCTTGTGTAATTTGTTTATTGCAAACAGCTGAGAAATTGTATATTTTGCCAATAAGCGTAATATGCAATGGGGGTTGAATAAATTTGATTGCAACTGTAGTTGGTTAAACCAATTAGTGTTTTATTAATGTACAATGCCGCTTAACTGTCATGCAGCCAGCCATAAGACAGCAGTCCCCCCTTCCCGCGGTAATGCTCAAGTTGACTGGAGTTTTAAAATGGCATGGTGGGAAATAAGAGAGATGTCCTCATGCAAAACCAGCACGGTTTGGCAGTACTACATGGCGCAAAATGCCTCTCATTTCAGCCAAAATTTAATTCTGATTTAGATATTGTTTTATTAACTTTAAAGTGAATTGCTGTCATTTTTGTCGGATAATCTGCAAGGTTCAATGTGCCCCACATTTCAGAGGCAATTTATTTATTTTAGATGTTATTTTAGTGGTTCACGGTTTTATACCGCACAGCAAAAAGTGTCTCATACTTAAGTGGTGTTTAGAATCCGACATGGTGGTTGAAGATTGTGATTAAAGGATTCAAAGGGCTCTTAGTGCACACAATATATTTTGACTTTTGACGTTTTCTGAGTGTTTTCCTTTTTTTAGACTAGTTGACTAGTCTTAATTTAAATTTTCATTTAGTCGTCAGGAATATCCCTACTTCAAGTTATGTTGGGTGTAAACATCAGTAATGTGTCCCTGTTATTGAACTATTTCAGCATTTTGTGCTTTCAGCTTAATTGTACAGTCTTCATCAGCAGATGGGATTTGCTCTGTTGTCATGGAGATAGAAATGATGTTGAATGTTTAGCTGTTGATGTAGTCATGTAGCCATGATTTTTAGTAGAACCCAGCCGCTTAGATCTCCATGAAAACTGAGCAAACTCCATCCACTGAGGAAGACAGAGATTTGTTTTGAAATTCCAGTAAAAGCTTGCAAGAAGACCTTGAGTTAAGTGTTTTTTGTTAGTTTGTTTGGGATTTTTTTGTTTTTTATTTGTGAAACCACTATTTTCAAGGTTAAGAAAAAACATAAGATGTGCATTGGAATTATAGATTTCTTCATACTTGAATTAAGACCGGGGTGACATTCAAGTTCTTTCAAATAAAATTACTCATTGTAAAGTATTAGTCTACTTCTCCTCTGCTCTGTCATCTCACTGGCTGTAAATGATGTTTTTTCCAGCCTGGTGTTCCGGCCTTTACAGTCAGACAGCCAGAAGACGCCATGTCTATGCTCAGGAACAGGGCCAAAGAGATCAGAGTAAGTGATCATTCAGACTAATGCAGTATTTTCAGTCAGGAATTGCTCAATGAAATGTCCCTGGGTGAATTAAGCTTTAAATAATCTCTGTCCTCTGGCTGCTCAGTTTTCTGTAATGCCGTCTGACCTGTTGTTGTAGTGTCCTCTGTGGGTGTGTCCAGAGCTAGAGGACTACAAGGCAGACTGTGGACCTTTGCGTCTGGGTCTGGCAGGGCAGCATCAGCGCTCAAATGCCTCCCTGGCTCTCCAGCTGAGTCACACTTGGCTGCAGAAAAGATGCCTGCCAGGTAGGATGGGTTGTCTACTAACATTTAAACTCTATTGGTTCAAATGAGAGGCTACCACTCTGTGAATCAGGACAAATCTTTTTGGTGTGGCTACCATTACAACTTGTTGTGCAAATTTGGTAGCAATTTATGTTGGTCTCAAGACTGAATAAATGCCTGAATCACTTTCATATTAAACAGCAATTTGGCTGAGTTAGACATAAAGACCACAGCAGCACAGGTTAAATATAAAGAGATTAAACACATGCCTTGGTCCACCTTTTTAGAAACACTATAATAGATGTGTTTCTCAATTGTCATAACTTAGTTATGAAATACAAAATAACTTTATCAACTTATAAAACATCGCAAAAGGGACAGTTCACCTCAATGTCAAAAAAGCATATTTTCCTCTCACCTTAGCTGCTATGCATCAATCTAGATTGTTTTGGTGTGAGTTGCTGAGTGTTGGTGATATCGTCCATACAGATGTCTGCCCTCTCTCTGATATAATGGAACTAGATGGCACTCAGCTTGTGGTGCTCAAAGCACCAAAAAAATACATCTGGGAAAAGCTCAACAGCAATGTCTCTCTCCAGAAATCATGACCCAGTTACTCAAGATAATCCACAGACCTTGTTGTGAGCAGTTTCACAAAGGAGCTGTTTTCTCTCTTCCAAACTATAACCGCCAACCGCATGCAGAAGGAAATATGCACCTACTGCTAGCTCACCTAGCACTACTGAGCTAGCTAATGCTACAGCTTAGCTGAGGAGGTTGCCATTATTGTTTACCTCTCGGTCTGTCACCAGCACAAACCTGTTGTCCATGAGTAGATGCACGCTTCCTTCTGCACAGTCATTCGGGAGACAATTGTAGTTTGGTAGAAAATAGAAAAAAAAAAAGAAAATAGTTCCTACATGAAACTGCTCACAATACGGTCTGTGGATTATCTTGAGTTACCACATTATGATTTCTGGAAAGAGACATTTCTGTTGAGCTTTTCAAAAAAAAAAAAAAAAATTGGCATTTTGAGCACAACATGCTGAGTGCCATCTAGTTCCATTATATTGGAGAAAGGGCAGACATCTCTACGACCGATATCTCCAACACTCTGCAACTCGCACCAAAACGATCTATACTTATAAAAAGCACAACAGGTAAGAGGAAAAATATGTGTTTTTGATTTTAGGTGAACTGTCCTTTTAATGAGCCAATGTTGCTCTTGAGATTCTTCTCAAATCAGATCAGGCTGTAAAAATAATTTCCTGCCTCACTGTGTTGGGCAAAAGAAAGTTAAAGTAAACCCCTTGTGCAGTCACAGTTAACCAGGTGCTAAATATCATGTAAGTATTGTGGCACTTTCTGTAAATGTCCTGTAATGTCTAAAAAACAGCCATAACTGACACCTGTGTGTGAATGGGGAAACAAAACACAAACAGACATCAGTGTTGTGTTTTCCATGTCTGAAAAGTTTTCACAGCAACATGTCCTCTCTCAACAGTTAAAAGCTTTCCCTCCACCACTGTTGAGAACACAAGTGTACTGCAGGCGACTTCCTTCAAGCCCAGCCCTATCATGGTAAAAGGTGAGTCCTAAAGAACAATCAGTCACTGTCAAAATTAGATCAGGATGAAGATCATTCCTATGCTGCGCTGTAGATCTCTGACTGAGCTAATTCAATACTTCAACATACAACAATTAAAACTAACAGTTGGGAGTAAACAGCCAATGCACACATTTGGGCTTCTGCAAACATAAATGTTTCTGTAACATTAGCAGCAAATAAGCAAAATCAGTTTGACTTGAAATCCATCCACCTGATAAAAAAGTACGTCACTGTGCAGCCAAGAACAACCACAGCTGACATCTTGATTATGTAAAAACATCCTGTCCCGTTTCTGTGATAAATACACAGTAAAACTCTTCGAATGTCAGAGAGCCTCAGTGCTACTGGTAGTTGTGATCGTTGTAAATCAGGTTTTATAGAAATCCAACATTTAACAGTTAGCAGGTTTAATGTGACATCATCCAGTGAGGTTATGTGTGTTTTGTCTCAGGGCTGGCCGACACGGAGTGGCCCGGGAGGAATCAGACTCTGAAACACGGACCAGTCACCTACTTCTTGGATGGAGCTCACACCATGCGCAGTATGCAGGCCTGTGTAAACTGGTTCAAAGAGACTGCAGCCCAGCATGAAAGGAATGCAAGGTGAACATGACTTCTTATGACATGAAATGTTCTAGCATCCATCAAGCAGCTCGATGCGACCATACAGTGCTCACTGCTAATAACATAAGAGTCACTTTACACACAGTTATTACAGAAGTAGCTGACAGTGCTGAGCCTGGCAGTATCACATCAGAGAATATACATGTACGCCTTTTCAGCAGTCATGGGCTGGCTTGGTTTGGCAAAGGCCATCAGCCCAGCATGGCAGGGATTTGCATTTCTATTACAAGAGGGCTACTGACTTGAAGGTGTGTCGTTAACTGATGATGGCTTATCTTGGGTAATTACGTTTTAAAGCTGCATGCTGATAAACGGCTAAAGCCCCCTGTTATTTTTTCTGCATGTGTTGTCCACAGCAGGGCAGGTAAAAGAAGTTTACCTGTTGGCAGTGAGCTGTTTGCAGAGGTGCAGTAAGAGCCTGTTGTCTGCAGCTCTTCATCAACATCTCACTGTGACTGTTTCTGCCTGGTCTCTTCCTCCCTGCAGTATTATTAGACTTGCCTTTATTGAAGAAAAGCTGCTAACAAAGTTCCGCTAATTCAGTGATAAACACATTTGATTTCCTAAAGATTCTTCACAATAAAAGTCCCTTGTTATTTTGTTATGTAAAAACTGAGTTTTTGAGCAGCAACTTCACACAACTTCTAATACGGTGGATAGCAAACATAAAGCAATAAAATAAAGCAGATATCTTAAGTAAAAACAGGACATAGGGTTCAAATAAGGAGAGAAACTAAACTCCAAACCACAGAGATTCAGTTAGAATCTACAAAAGTACCGAGAGCTGAGCACACAGACTTTTAAAAAAGCCCTTCTCTCTGGTCTCGTGCAGACAGAGGTGAGTAGTCTCGTAACACACACGGCTTGTTTGTGGGGGAAAAGCAAGGTCGTCGGGGGTTGCCTGCTGTCAGCAGGACATCACAACTACCTGCTTGAGGCTTGTGGACCTACTCTCGAGAGGGTCCATCTCTGGTGCAGCTCTGCGTGGCACGGCACGTCTAAAGCCTAGTTCACATTACACGATTTTCACCGCAATTTTGACATCGCAAAGGATCTTGAGAGCCACCTTGGGTTGGAGTAGAATCGGCAGATAGTCTGCCACGACGAGTCCTCGTGTGTGAACGAGCCTACGAGCAAGTCGCCCCCTCATCTGTGACTGGGACTGGATATCTGGCATGCTAGTAAACTGAAGAAGTCTGACACGACTGACAAAGAGCATCAGCCAATGAGAGGCGGGATACGTCCCATGTCAGCACGCAGGAGGACGGAAGAAATGTGAGGAGGACAAGCCGCAGGGTTGCCACTTGCCAGGTCCGCTGATGAGCCGTGACTTAGGGCTTGTTTCTTAAGTGGAGTTGCTTATTTGGGCTTGCTCTCTAAACGTCACCTTTCTCTGTGTATATCTGTCTAATAAGTTATTTAAACGCATGATAGTAGGGGTGCACAATAACTATCGGGCAGATAACAGGAAATTATTACGTCATTCCGATAAGTCTGATAACATGACGAATAGCCCCGATAACATATATAATTTTGTCAGCACGGCAGTGTCCCACTCCCACTATGAGACCTGAATGGCCTGCAGTGAATGCTGCGTTCAAGTGACGTCGGCATAATCAGAAAAACTCTTTCTGACTGGGAAAATTCAAGAATACTCCCTCATGTCGGAAAACAACTCATTAAGTCGGTCATAATTTCACACAGACGCGCACTCTCTCTCTCTCTCTCTCTCTCTCTCTCTCTCTCTCTCTCTCTCTCTCTCTCTCTCTCTCCCCCACACCCCCACACACACCCACACACACACACACTCTCTCTCTCTCTCTCTCTCTCTCTCTCTCTCTCTCTCTCTCTCTCTCTCTCTCTCTCACACACACGCACGCATGCACGCACGCACGCGCACGCTCTCTCTCACACTTTGCACGGTATACTGGTACCAACGGTAGACCGCGGCACTAAAACTCCACAGTACATATGATACCATAATGTTGGAGTACCATAGTACTACGGTACCTCAGGTACCACTGCTGTGGGATAAGTTCAAAGTCCAGTCGCAAGAGGGTGAGTGTCCATGCGTCGTCCAATAACGGCGCACGCTGTCCAATAACGGCGAATCCTGCCAGTTGTGGGTTGAACGGGGGTCACAGACACAGACAGGAATACGTATTCCTGTCAAATACAGCGGCCATAGTGCTCCGCGGCACAACTTAATGGCTTACCGGCGACGGGGGAGGAGGGTGGCAGGTTGATTTTTATTTTATTTATTTATTTATTTATTTTATTTTATTTTGATCCCCCCTATGTTAATCACTTATTGATGCTGTTTTTGAAGTATGAATAAGTCAAAAAGTAATTTATTCCTTTGAAATATCAGTGATGTATTATAGAAAAGGCACATCTGCGTCATTTTTGCTGTGGTATCGTGATACTACTCAGAACTGTGATACTGTCACTGGTATCGTACCGTGGGTCCCAATTTTGGTACCGTGACAACACTATCTCACACACACACACAGACGTGCTCTCTCGCTCTCTCTCTCTCTCTCTCTCTCTCTCTCTCTCGCTCTCTCTCTCTCTCTCTCTCTCTCTTCTAATATGAGATAAAAGAACAACTGAACCTCATTTACCTTAAGCCCAGCATATACTGTACGATTTTTAAAATCTTGTTGTTAATACCAGCTCACACTGTACAAGTGAATCGTCTGCAATGTGCGGCCAAAGCTCACGATTTATGTGCTCACACTGTACGTTCCGATCATCAAGCACGATCAAAGAGCTCACACTGTACGGGTGAAAACGGCTCGTCGGCCCCTGCTGACTGTCCTGCCCATTGACAGCTGTCAATAAAGATACATTTGAAATCTCCGATTTGTTCCGGAAGTGCCGTTGTTGTCAACGAAGCAGGACAAGCGGTTTGCTTTGGTGATTTGCGCTATACTGTGTGCCGAAACGTCCAAAAAGAAGAGGCGTCGGCACATATGGACTCACAGATGGCTTGAGAGACGTGGACAGTATGGTTTGTCCATTTTACAACGAGAGTTGGAGGTAAGCCGGCTACAGCCGGGTGCACCCTCTGTGTGTGTGTGTGTGTGTGTGTGTGTGTGTTGTACCACATCTAGCGCGCTAGCTTGTATGTTTGTTGCGCTTGCTTGAAAATGAGAGCAGAAAAAACTTACCAGGCAGCTGAAGAATATTGGCTATCTCCTGTCAGCGTTTCTCTCGTTGATAGCGTTCGTGGTAGGTGTAAGAAGAAACTTCGAACAGGCACTCATTCTGTTGCCACAGCTCAACCAACCTGGCCTCCATATTTACAGTCCACCAACGCGTCGCCATGGTGATCTATGTCTTCGCGCAGGCGCAGTGAGGGATAAATGCACAGACGTTGGCGAATCGGCTCGTGGGTCTGCTTCAACTGTGCGAATGTCTGTGCTGGCCGACCAAAATTTCTGACATGTCAGAAATTCATCTGACCGTCCGACCGTGGTTCTGGAACAGATGATCGGCCCTTGCCCCCCGCCCCCGTACACTGCACGGCTAAAGACACACGACGAAGCGGAAATCTGGCCCGAGCGTCAGCAGGTCGTGCGTCTCAAAAATCGGGTCAAATCCGGTCAAAAATTCGTACAGTGTATGCTGGGCTTTAGTGAAAAGGTATTCATTTGAATGGAACCATAAGCCAAAATTCTTTAAACTTATTTTTTTTGTTACTATGGAATGCACTTTTTCAGTTTGTTTACATAGACAAGTCTAACTTGTTCAGTGCAATCATTTTCTATATATATTTATTTTTTTGAACTTCTGGAATGAACTTTTTCACCTTGTAATCCCGATGCATGTATTTGCATCAGTTCAAGGGGCCTTTATTTTTATATCAGTAAGTAATGCACCTTATTTAAATTGATGTTCATTTGAGATATCAAATAGTTTTTTTGTTTGATATCTTTTCGAAAATATATATATATATAATGTATATGTGTGTGTGTGTGTGTGTGTGTGTGTTATCGGTTATCGGTATCGGTTTAAAAGAAAAGTTATCGTGCATCCCTACATGATAGTCGCGTCTTTTGGGCTTGTTTCCATAGCCCTGGTTGCTTGTTCCTCTCCCAAGATCTGGCAACACTGACAAGCCGGCAAGCAACAACAACAATGGCGGCATCCACGGGATCACGGGAAGCATGTTGTGTTTGGACCCAGGCCCTGGAGGCAGATCTGATTCAACAGTGGGAATCATATCCATGCCTTTTTAGGATGTGTCATCTCAAAGTTTAAAAAAAAACGTAGTTTGGTGACGTCACCACGTTATCTGGGGCTCTGTTGGCGAGGGCTCGGTGGAGAAATCTTGTGGTGTGCACACACAGGTCGTAACGCAGTTCGTGAGACTCCCCCTGACAGAAACGCACGTCGCCAGGTATGAACACTCAAAAGATTATGAAAGTCTCCGTGACGCAAAATCAGGGTGAAAATCGTGTAATGTGAACCTGGCTTAAGCTGATAATCATCCATATTGGTTTTAAGATGTGACAGGGAGGTCCCTGTGCTTCATAACTTTTACTTTTATAGAGACACTTGAGACCTTTTCTCAAACAGCTGAACAGTGGTGATGTAAAGTCTTGGCATGTTTGTGTTGCAGTGGACCTGTGGCTAGAGTTTTGCTGTTCAATGCCACAGGAGAGAGAGACTCAGCAGCCATGCTTAAACTACTGGTGGTAAGTACATCTGCTTTCAGCAACACAGGGAAAAGGGGCATTGTCCTTAAAGCTAATAAGCACAATGCTGTTGTGGGTATTGCAGTGTGTATGTAGAGGAAATGTGCAAAGCTTGGTTTTCTTTTCCAGTCCAGCCAATTCTTTTTTTTTTCATACCTTTTTGCAGTTTATATAGATAGATTAGTAATATTTTAGATTATTTGTCATGTTAATGGCTACTGGATTCCACACAAATAAAATGAAAATAATCATCTTCTGTAGCAAACTGAAAACTCACATATTCAGACTGCCCCTTGACCCATAAAAACATCTCTCATTATTTATATGGGCAGCACTTGATGCAGTTTAGAATATTTATTTATTTTTTTAAATATTTTTTGGGGGTATTTTTAGCCTTTAATGGATAGGACAGACAAGTGTGAAAGGGGGAGAAAGAGAGGGAGTGACATGCAGCAAAGGGCCGCTGCGGCAACAGCCTTGTATATGGGGCGCCTGCTCTATCCACTAAGCCACCGACGCCCCGCAGTTAAGAATATTAGCTGAAGTTGACATGCCTGCAAGATTCTTACAGTTTTGGGGTTGTATCCATGTGGTTGAATGGACTTACTGTTACTTATTCATGTCTTTTTTTACCTGTCTCTTTTCAGCCATGTCATTTTGACTTTGCTGTGTTCTGCCCAAACATCACTGAGGCCATTGCTTCATGTAATGCAGGTGAGGTCATTTAACCTGTTGCTGTTGACAACAATCATTGGATCATTAGACAGAGTAATTTAGACAGCATGCCCCCAGTTTGGTGAAACAGGCTGGAGTCTGACACAAAGCTAAGCAATGTACTGCTGTGGAGGGGTCAGCAACAACATGTATTTTGGCCCCCTTAAAAGAAATGAACAGTCTAAGCGTACTCTGTATTTAGAATATTTTTACCGCTTGACTTTGCTGTCAGACGGATTTCTAACAGGGAACTAAAGCCACCAGATTGCTCTCTTCAAAGCCAGGCTCCATTGACAAAAACATTATTGTGCTCAACACAGAAGCTGCTGGTCCACCACTGCCCATATCATTTAGTTTGTTTGTGTTAATGTGTGATTTTGGTGTTTTAAAGTGGTTAGTTTGCATTCACCAAAGTCACACAATAACGAACAAACTAACTGAATTAGACAGTGGCAGATCAGCAGTTCCCTTGTTCAGCGACTTAAAATGACTGATTTGGTCAATATCTGGTGGCTTTGACAAGAGCATAGATGTGGAACTGAAGCTGTTAACCTGTCAGAAAGGCCTGTCTGCAACAAGGTGAAGTGGTAAATATAATCCCAGTATAGTGTTAGCTTAAACTGTTATTTATTCTTTCAGATGAGACTTTTTTCAGGTGGTTAAAGTTAGTTTGCTGCTGACCCCCCTCCTCAGCAGGACATTGCTTAGCCTCCATGGTAGTGCTCCAGCCTGCTACTCCAAACTGGGGGCATGCTGAATGACATCTACAGTAGGTAATACACTGACTATAGATAAGTCCCTCATACAGCCCTAAACTATCTCTTTAAGGACAGAGCTGGAGTCAGGACAGGGTTAGCCTAGCTTAGCATAATAACTAGAAGCAGAGGGAAATCGCAAGCCTGAATCTGTCCAAAGATCAAAACATATCATATCTCTTTTTTTTTAAACAAACTGAAATGTAAAAATGTCTGTGGTTTCAGGAGATTATGTGTTGGAACTAGTTCTTGACAAACATTGATCCATTCCCCCAGTGCTCTTTGGCGATTGTCTCTGTAGCGAAGGGTTGCCAGATAAACCCGGCAACCCCAGTTTGACAAAAACAGAATACCTGCACTCATAGTAGAATTCACTTATTTAATATGGGCAAAAATATTGTGTGGACATGTTTCAGCTAAAGACCCATTGTCAGCATAACAAAACAATAATGAATGGCAAATTATATACCCACAGGTGAGGTTCAAACCCCAATCAGGATAGAGAATACATAATTAAGTGATAAGTTCTATCTGTGTATGAATGACCTGCAAAATATTAGCCTCTCACAAATGGGAGGAGTGTCCATAACAACCAAGAAGACCACCAGCAGCCAGTAACACAGGCTGAGGGGTAAAAAACAGATGCACAGGACTGGAAACAATAACGAGAAACTATAAATAAGGAGCTATAGGATCCAGAGTCATTAATTAATGAATCAATGAATGCACATTAACAATCATAAATACAAAGAAATAGTATAGTATCAGTAAATATAATATGTATAAAGGAGCCCTGAATACTTTCATAGAATAATGAAAAAACATCTTAATCTCCTAGTATATAATATTTATGACCCTTATCGGGAAAAATGCTACCAAGAAATGAAGCTTAAGACACCTTTCTTATAGGAATTTCTTCAAAAGACAAAGACTGGGATATGTAGCAAGTATTAAAGTAATTTAAGAGCTAAGTATATACTTTTCTGAATTACTTGTATTTTTCATGTTATTGTATTGACAGCAGTGCTTAATTTGAGCCGGAACGTACTGGAACGCGTACCAGGATCTTTTCAGAAAAGGCCCTGGTGCATTCCGGAACAAATTTGCATGGGTCTAGAACTTTTCGCATCTAAAAACTACATACAGTATTGGCTGATGTCACTAGTGTTGCAGGGTATACTGGTAATGGTAGACCGTGGTACTAAAACTCCACAGTAGCCTCCATATGATAGTTCAAAGTCCAATCGCAAGACGGTGAGTGTCCATGCGCCGTCCCGGCGCACGCTGGTCAATAACGGCACGCGCTGGCCACCTGGCACTCAATATGCTGCTGTAGTGGTTTGTTTTCCAGGCATGTGAGTATCTTTGAGCAGTGAAAGTTATTATTTATTTATTTTTACTTGTCGGCAATGATTTGTTTTCCACAGAGCTCTACGTGCGAGCATTTTACTCGCATTTGCGACTAAACATAGTTTTGTGCACACAAATTAAATCATTCAGCTCACTGTGTGAGTACAGATTTCAACCAGCAGCAGAAACGAAAGGCGAATCATGCAGGTTGTGGGTTGAACGGGGGTCACAGACAGGATGCGGCGGTCAAATACGGCGGAGGCTCATAGTGCTCTGCGTCGCAACATAACAGCTTACCGGCGAGTCCGACTCCAGGTCCAGTAATTTCCTCTTCTTAGTGTCATGACTGCCCAGTAGTACCTGGGCAATCGAGCCGTGGTGGCACACAGGTATGTGGCGTGTCAGAGGAGAAACGAGCCATTCACATTTCTCTCTGTGGCAGGTAATGGCCCACAAACCTCACCGCACTTTAGGGACTGTTCTTTACTTATGAAGGGACTGGTCTTTACTTGTCAGGGGAGGAGGGTGGCAGGTTGATTTTTATTTTATTTATTTATTTATTTTATTTTATTTTGATCCCCCCTATGTTAATCACTTATTGATGCTGTTTTTGAAGTATGAATAAGACAATAAGTAATTTATTCCATTGAAATATCATTGATGTATTATAGAAAAGTGATTTATCTTTTTATAAATGACAAAAGGCACATCTGCCTCATTTTTGCCGTGGTATCCTGATACTACTCAGAACCGTGATACTTTCACTGGTATCGTACCGTGGGTCCCAATTTTGGTACGGTGACAACACTAGATGTCACAACCATTCCATTTGGAGTCGCGCAGTGAGGCAGCTCGGGTGCCACCTAAAAAAGTGTTCCCCCACTTTTGAGAGTGGGGGAACACTGCTCTCTCAGAGGCCCAAAGTGTTCCCCTACTTCTAATTTTACAAATTAAGCACTGATTGACAGTGCCACATTGCTCCCGTTGCTGCCTATACTAAATAAGTGAAGTCTACAACGAGTTGCCGGTGTTTTATCTGTTTTTTGATTTTCATCAGTACTGTGCACGTTTTTTATATTGTCTAAGATTTTGGACTTGTGCACTCTGCTATTCTTCATCACAAGCTTCAGTTTGCCAACAAAAGTTGAGGAAACTGCTAAGTCACTGCACCCAACTGTTGTTTGCCGGAAAAATAGTTGAAGCATGGAAAAACCCCACAAACTGTCATTTTTACATTTCTATTTACACTACAATAAAGAAAGACAATAAGCACATTCCCTATAATGTTGAGTTATTGCTTTTACACTAAGAAGAGATTTGAAAATGGTCCTTCTTATTCTCATACTTCTCAGACCAGCAGAACTTCAATGTGTCAGTGGAGAACATGTTGACCCGCTGCTTGGACAACGAGAGGAGCTGGCATCTCCATAACAGAATGGGGGATAACAAAGGTCCACAGCTGTTAATCGAGAGCAGCCTGCCCCTGGTCCCTGAGAAGAAAGCAGACACCCTGGTCTTCCCCTGCATCCTCAGTGCCCTTCAGTGGATCACCCAGCGCAGGGATTCAGTGCTGGCAGACCCAGCCAAGAGTGTCTTACCGGTAAAACCCAGCATCATGGCCAAAGCTGCTCCGCTCTGCGACGCAGCAGAGATACACATCCTTGTCACTGGAAGCCTCCACTTGGTGGGAGGAGTACTCAAACACCTTGACCTGGCTTCCTCCAAGTAAACAGACCATGTGAAGTTACATTAATGCATTTAAACCGTTAAATAATGGGATTCTCTGCCTACATGCACATCTACCTTCAAATAATTTCTGTCTGTATAGATGAGGTTATAGTGGCATTAGCTTTTTGAACACTGTTATTAGGTGTTGACCTGAATGGCTTTAGCTGCACCCGGGTATTGTTATTGTCTCGTAGCTTCCCTATAGTGGCTTATGGTAGGAGCCCGTAAGTTTGGACCAAGGCAGCTCCAGGCCTCTTAAGCCCCAGCTTCACCCAGAGCCTTACAGACGAGCACACAAACATGTGGAGCTCCCGTCTTCAGTTTTACTTGAAGCCAAATATGTTTACAAAGGGTACATTCATGTACACCACAATGTGAGCCGAGTTGGCTAAACTGGAACTGTATGTAAGCTTCAGTGATCACAAACGCCACCAGGATGAACCGGTGTGGTCAGTGGTGTGGTGGTTATTACATTTATACAAAAACTGTAGATTACTGGCACAAGGAAGTGCCACTGGATGAGTTTTCTGGTTTTTACTATCTATTTGCAACACTTGACTATTACATTTCAGTCTTTCTTTTTTTTTTTTGAATGAAAGCCATTTTGCACGCTTTCTAATTTTATTTTGTCTGGATTTGACTGTGTTTTTTTACACATGGCCTCTAATTTCTCTTTTGTAGGAGTGTAAATATTCACTCAACACTAGTGTTGGAATCAGATGTAACTAAATCAAATTCTGTGTAATCTGTTTTACATTGAAATTAGTCATATTTAAATGGTCCTAATGCAAATTAATGATATTTAAATTATCTGATGTATATACAGTTATTTTATGTAAAATGATGAAAGATATTGAAACTGTATGAAATAAACTTGTCAAATGGGTCTTAATGTTATGGGTATTCACCCAGTGAAACTAACTGAGGTCTTGAGCTTCACAGGTGCTTCAGACAAATCCAGTCACTCTGTGACCTTGAATGAGTTTTGAATTCAATTACAATATAAAATAAACTACACTGTTCTTATTGTTAATGTGGACCCATCAAGACACAAAATACACTTAAATGGAACTTGTCACTCATAGTAGTGAAGTTGAAATCAGCTGACATCTTAAATAAGAGTTGATTTAAAATGTGGGTATGGAAATATCTACTATTGTTTTTGAATATTTCTTGGTCTCTCCTTTGTGAACCTCCAACTTGATCAAATGTGTTTTATGATTACAGACACAACCCTTGTCTATCCATTGTGATCCACAATAAAAATCTTTCCAAAATGTAACCTGTCAACTTTTGGACAATGTCCTATTTACTACCCATCAGTGTGACTCCCAGAAACTCCCATCTGCATTTCATCGTCATCATCATCCTCATCGGTGGGGGGTGGGGGTGGTTTCGGGGGTTCTGACAGGCAAAGCACTCTTGCTCTAACACAGATCCACATCTGGACACTGAAGATCACAATAGTGGCATCTGTATAGGGATTTATTGGGAAATATTTTTATCTGAGAATAGGGGCAGTAATGTGTTACTTAATAGTTACATGTTTACATTTGTTAACCCCTATAAGAGGGTACTTATGATTCAGACTAGCCCACCAAAATCCTGCACTGTCCATACAGTAGCTCTGCAGATGACAGCGAAAGGAGAAGGGATGTCTTACATCTTGCCTAGCTATGGTGATGCTTATAGCTTGTGGTCTGTTGCTGGGGAAACTTGGATGAAGTGAGGAGTGGAGGGATGTTGAGGCTCGAGTGTCTTCATGATCATCTGGTGGCAAAGGTAGAGCTGCTCAAAGTCCACAGTGATGATTCTGGTGATGTGTCCTGGTGATTTCAGATATTGGAGGAGGAAGTGGAGAAGGCATGTCCCTCATTTGGCCCTGGAGGCATATTGGTGCGAGTCCAGCTCTGCTGGCAGCACGGTATTAAGAACCAGTTTCTCCATGCATTTCCATGATGATTAAGTGCAGCTGGTAGGTAGTGGCTGGATTCTGATATGCATAGAGGGAGAAAATGGGAGAACACTGATGGGATTTGCACCAAATATTTTAAAAATCTCTTACTCTGATGGAGCAAACCCAACGTGACAAGCAGATTTATGAATTTAGGCTCTGGCAAGTGATGCATAAAAGTCAAGCAATATATACAGTTAAGGCAAACGTACACAAGCCCTTATGAAACTCATTTTTTTGCTCATTTTATTGTTGTTTCTCTTGATTATAACATTGTCCTCTTTATCCCTTTATAGAAGCATGTGCCTTTCTGCTCATTAACAGATGTATATCTTCTCCTGATGCGATAGCATTTGCTGTAACGTAACATAATTAGCCCCGAGACCCTGCGTCCTCATATGAGGACATTACATTTTAGGATTGCTGCACCTTATACTTCATTCTGCTTAACTTAGACCCACTGTCCTTGTTCGTGGACACTTTTAAGTGCCATCTAGTGATGGCAAGCTTTTGGCTTTCTGTGGCAATCTGGTTTCTAACGTCTGGATAAAAGAAAAGATAAGTACATGAAGTGATGCATCCTTGTGTTCAAAGTCCATTAACACTGAAACTGACCCTAAGAAGCTTCTAGAGTCTAAATAGATTTCCACAGCTGAATCTTTATATATGTACTGACCATGGTAAATGTGAAAGGCTAAAAGGAGTTGCATGTTATTTACTTTGGAGTGTCTTCATTTACTGCGCACCCTCCCTGTGTGTGTGTGAGGCTTGATGAGTCTCTGTGGCACAGTGTAGATCTGGAGGGTTTGACCCACATGGGTCCAGTATGGAGTCTGCATGCTGAGATGCCCTCGCTCCTTCGTGGAAGAACTGCACTGCACAGGCACAGGGTGAGTCTAGAGCCCCCACAGCCCCCACAGCCCCATTTTCATATTACATATTTCCATTGGTTGATCAGACACATTCTGGAAAAGATAAAATAAAGTGTAAATATGTAACCTAGATGCACCACACACAAGAGGACCGAATTGCTTACAGGCCAGGTGGGTGTGTTAGGTTTGACCTACAGACAAATAGGACATTCCCAACTTGGAGAAGGGAAAATTCATACAGTTACAAAATGAGCAAAGCCTAGGGCTTTTAGATATGGTGCATTATTTGCAATTTTGCTTTTGCACAGCCATGTTCAAGTACTGAAATGAACAGTTCTGAACAGTTTTAGACTCAACCAGTGATCCCTGAGCTATAGGGTTACAAAACACTGAAAAAATGTTGCACTGTTTGTAATTTTGTTTAGGCTTTAAAATAATCAGTTTGATAATATTACACACTTGTGACTATTAAAATGAACCCAATGTCCCAATTTGAGAACATCATTCAAAAACGGCTTACTTTTTAAGGACAATATTTAGTTTTTATATTTATCAGATCCTACTTATCCCCAAATGACGAGGAGAAATTAAAAACTCATTTGAAACGAAAGGTCGAGTCTTAGGAGATTAAATTTGGAGGCCCAAAAAAATGCAGCTGGCATCATAACTATGGAAAGTCGGTATAACAAGCATGACTTGAACGCCTCATGGCCCACTGAGTGAAACGTATGACGTAAGACGTACGGCGCAGACACGTCGGTGACGTGTGACTACAGGGCGCCCTGCTGTTCCCGGCGGTGAGTTTAAAGAGTCTCGATTGGAGGGCTGCAGTGAAAACAGCCAGCGTCCTTATGTGAAACGCTCTCTATACACAGTTAGGTCTGAACCAGAGGAGATGGCGAAACACAGGTATGGTTACGAATGTTTTTACACTTTGTTAATGTAAAGTATTCGCACGAAAGACACCATTAGTTAGCTTTTAGCGTGCCATCTATGTGAAAATGATCCAACACTAACGTTACCTGGTAAGCTACTCCGACTGTGTTCAAATTTAAGGAATATCACTTATCTCTCAACACATTATTTGTGAGTTTCAATGCTGTAACATTAGTCGTGTATAAGTGTGTTTGTGAATCGCCATGTTTGGAGAGCTGTAGTTTAAAACTGAAGCTATTATCAGTCGATACCGCGCTTTCATGTAAGCCAGGCCTCCGTACAGGTTCAGGTTTATCTATGCTTTCTTCCTGGTTTAATAAACTAAACTAGCTACGCAATATTAGAATGACATTCCAGTATAACTACACGCACATAACGACTGGAAAAGAGGTGACAAAGTATTTGCGTTTACTTTTACAGTTAAAATTTGCGCGGTCACAGCGCTGGTAGTAGCATCAATATGGCGGGCAGAGAGAGGTTGTCTGGGGGAAGCCACACGTCGCGAACGAAATATTATTTTAGATGTTGCTGTAAAAAAAAAAAAAAAAACACTAAGTGTAATGTATCCAGCATTTTGAATAAACGTTTGATTAGTTTCTCCTTCCATACCAGCATGCCACTGCAGGACCTGCCCTGCCTGGGTCCTCAGGGCTCCATGTTGTCCCACAGGATGAATAAACGTAAATCCAGAGACTGCCTCAGTGAGGGCCTGGACACTGAGTGCACCCCAACAGAGCTCATTCAGCAGTGGTCACCCCGCCACAAGCACCAACGGCTCATCGGCAAGGGCAAAGAGAATGGCAGCAACCAGTTTGTCCTGGCCAGGAGATCTAGGAGGAAAAAAGAATCCCTGTCATGTAGGAAACCTCTTTTCTGACCACCTTCAATCAGCTGCAGTGTATTGTTTGTAGCTGTGATAAACTCATACTTTGCTCTTTTTCATATATTTCCCTCAGCAGGCATTTCATGGGACCACCTACCTGATGAGCTGCTTCTCAGGATCCTCTTCTATATCCCTCTGCAGGACCTCCTCAGGATGTCTGTGGTGTGCAAGCGCTGGCATCGCTTAGCGTGAGTCTCTAATCACTCGAATGCATAAGTTATTTTCAGAGGGTGACAGAGGAGTAATATTTTTTTTCCTTCTCAGCTTTGTCCTGATTAAAACACCCTCCAATTCATGTTACAAGTGCACCCAGTTTCACCCCGTCACTTTCATTCTTAATGCAGTTGCAGTTCCACAGATTATTGACTAGCACAGAGCTTTAACCCACAATATTTTCATTTATCTGTTCTTTTTCTTCAAGTTGGTTATTTAGGGAACTTGGTGACTAAGAGGAAGTGCTTGCTGAAAAATGTAAATAAACAGCCCCCATTCTCATATTCACATCTCCATTGGTTGACCAGACACATTCTGGAAAACATAAAATAAAGTGTAAATAAGTAGATGCACTGCATACCAGAGGGCTGAATTGCTTCTTCTTAAAATTAATCTTCATATCAAACGTGTTACTCCCTTGGCTTCATCAGGTTTGCAGACCTGATGAAGCCAAGGGAGAAACAAATTACTATCAATCTGATGTTTCCTGCCATCATCTGCACCAAGTTATAAGCACTGATAGTGCAGTGCAGGGGGCATGTACTTTTGAATAAGATAAAGTGTGTTTACATGCACTACAGTGAATGGGTTGCTTTTGGCTTTCTGTGGTAAGCTGGTTTCTAACGTCAGGATAAAAGGAAAGATGATTGTGTGTGTGTGTGTGTGTGTGTGTGTGTGTGTGTGTGTGTGTGTGTCTCCCAGGTTTGATGAGTCTCTGTGGCACAGCGTAGATCTGGAGGGTTTGACCCACATGGGTCCAGCCCTGCAGCAGGTGCTGAAGTACGGAGTCCGCATGCTGCGCTGTCCTCGCTCCTTCGTGGAAGAGATGCACTTCATGGGCACAGGGTGAGTCCAGCAGCTGGTTACACTCACTCCACATCTCATTGTGGTCTACACAACTTAGGCTGGTAAAGGGTTCAACTTCTGCTGAATTTAGTTTCTTGTTTATATGATAAGTGTGGTGATAGTCAGTAGTTTTCTTGTTGTCAATGAACCCCATGTGCAGACCAAAACCAACAGTGAATGAACATCTATTGTGTGTGTCTCAAAGCCTGAGCTGTCTTCATCCTCTGTGCCATAGAGTTCCATTGTGTTCCAAAAACTATTAAAAACACATCAGTGAGCTACACTGTTGCACTTGCTGATGTGTTCTTTCACTACCATGATTGCACACTGTGTATTTTATTTTTACACAGTCCCACACACACTCCCGCTGCCACAAGCACCAAATTACAATTAATCGGCCACTGAAAATAGTCCTCCACATAAGTAGATAGGTGTACTTGTGTGTATATGTACATACATGCATGCATGTATATACATGCATTGTGCATACAAGTAATTGTAAATATGAATACAAACACATGTATGTATATAAATACACGTGTGCAGGTACATACAGGTACCTACGTGCGTAGGTGTTTGAATATATTGCGTACATATGGGTACATGCAGGAATTTCTGTGTCAGTGTATGTACATGCAAGTATACAGAGATACGTTATTGTATTTATTATATAAAAAAGTGCACCGTATATGATCTACTATAACCTATTAGTAACTAGTTGAGTTGCAAACTCAAAAGCAAATAAGCTGTATATATGAAAACAAGCTTGGAAAAAAGTACATAAGATTTATATCCTCAGTATGAGCCAGTGGGCTTGGAGGTGAGAGTCAGACAGGGTAGAGAAGTCAGAAAGTATTGAGAGACTGACTAACACACTTTAGGTTTTGAATTTTCATGGGATATGTTGACAAAACAAATTTGAATAATGGCAATCTTGTCCTTTTTTAATAAGATCATGTAGCTGCCACTCAATATATAGGGGGGAAATATGTCTCTTTGGATCTAAGTGTCTGCCAGGTGTATGTACAGTAATGATATACAGTCATTTTTATGCATGGACTAACACTTCACACCTACCCAACATATTGTTCATGCTTTCTGCTGAAGAGAAAGGTTTGGTTCTATCAGTGCTGTAACCTCATTTATGTTGTCAAACAGATCTGTCCTTTAAAGGCCATTTACTGGTGTAGTTTTTCTTGCTGGATGAATGTAAACTGGATTTATTTGATTTGCCTTTTTACAAAGCAAACTTTTTTTCATGTTTCAGCACTGCTTTGTCTTCTCTGTTGTTCAGCCCTCTGCAGATAGCTCTAATGGATCTGTCCAGCTCCATTATCCCCACCTCAGCTCTGGAGAGCATCATCCGTCGCTGCAGGCTGCTGGAGTATCTGAGTCTGGAGGGTCTGCAGCTCTCAGATACCATCATCAGGTGAGTCTCCATCTCAACTGCTGCCATCAGAGGTGAGAAACATGTCGCTGATTCTGTCCCCTCAGAATCCTTAGGGCCCGTGTCCACATTCCAAAGCAGAACAACGCCGGCAGGGTGCTGGGAAGCACTTCATCCCAGCGCTTTATTTTTACAAAATCACTGGCAGCGCTTTTTGTAATGATGTGCTGTGCATAGGTTTTGTTTCTATGGCAACAATTTCTACTCTAACATTAGCCAGGTAGCTAACATGATGCTATATTAACAGAGGGTAGACTAACACAGTCAACTTGAAGCTTACGAAGCGAACGGTGATAAAAGCACAACACACACCAGCAACATCCAGTGTCCGCTGGTCGATCTGCTCCCAAAAAATGAGCTTTTCTGTCTTTGTTGTGACCGTACACTAGCCCAGCTAAAGGGGCAGCGGTGATGTCACTAGTGCCTTTCTGAGCATCTGTGCAAAAAAGGCGGAGCACTCTGAAAAAAGATGTTGGGCACAGCACCTTTTCACTAGGCAGCCGTATGTGCTCTCTCCTCACTGTGGATAATTGGAAAAAAAGACGCCAGCTCTGAGAGAAAAAAAAAACCCACTATGTTGACACAGGCCCTAAATGACATCAGCCATACACCACTGACTTTTCCATAAATCTGTTGCTTACATTCAAACATGATTAATAAATATTTCAATCAATGATCTAATCAATTTCATGTACTGTAATATAAATCTAGAAAAGCAGCACATTTACATTGGAGAGGCTGAAACAAGCAGAAGTTTTGCATTTTCTGCTGGAAAATCATTTATCATCATTAATTAAACTTACCAAAATGTAGGACTTATTTAGATTAACTTTGCAAAAAGGCTAGAAACAGGAAGACTGCTAGCCTGGTACCTGCAAAAAAACCCAAAGTAAATTAAGCTCTGAAGCCCTTACCTCTGTGTAGCACTGTGTTTATCATTGTAGAAATGGCAATAAAAGCTACTGTACATGTAAACCCCATAATTGTGGGGTTGGTGTTTGCTGTTGTTGTAGAGTATGTGTGCCCCTTTGGTCTTTTCTCAGTAACCGATGCGGTTGGATATTTGTCCTCTGTCTCTCACCCAGCTCTCTGTCCCAGAACCCAAACCTGCTGCAGCTCAACCTGTGCGGCTGCTCCGGCTTCTCTGCTCCCGCTCTGGCTGACATGCTCAAATCCTGCACAAGGTCAGCCGCTTATATTTCATATGTCAAAATCCTGTTCTTGAGATGACAGCTGGGTCTACCATTCCCTATCTCTGTGATTTACTAATGCTGTGTTTATTTATTTTCCCTGTGCAGAATAAAGCAGTTGAACATATCATGGTGTGACTTCAACAATGATCATGTGAAGAGTGTTGTTAATAATGTGAGCTCCGCTGTTACTCGCCTCAACTTCAGCGGATACAGAGAGAACCTCACGCTAGACGGTAAATGAGGGATGTTTGTGCAAAATCAGTTCATTATTCAGTCTTTATTGTGGTAATGGGTTAAACATGAGTGTTTGTCCAGGATAGAGCCACTCTTATGTTCACTCCTTGCTGTTTTAGACAATAGGCATCTAAAGCGTTATTACGTTTTGACTTCATGGCAAGTTGCTTCCAATCTTCTCTCTTGCTTCAGTACTTTATATAACGAGATTGTGTCCCTCACCATAGTCTACTCCTACACTAGTTGATCTGTTTGTGTACCTCTGTACCACCAAAGCATTGTCTGCATACATACACTGATCAGCCAAAACATTAAACGACTGACAGGTGAAGTGAATAACATTGATCATCTTGTTACGATGCAAAGTTCTGCTGGGAAACCCTGGGTCCCAACGTTCATATGGATGTTACCTGACACACCCCACCCAAACACTGATACATGCATGCATGCATGCATACATAACTGGCAAATATATATCATTGGCCGATAAGCAAGAAATTAAAATTTTTATTGGTCCAATACAGTGGATAATAGCTCCTATTTGCTTGCTACACTCTCCAATCATATACCTGTTTCAAACCATCATTCAATCAATCAATTTTATTTATAAAGCCCAATATCACAAATCACAATTTGCCTCACAGGGCTTTACAGCATACGACATCCCTCTGTCCTTAGGACCCTCACAGTGAATAAGGAAAAACTCCCCCAAAAAACCCTTTAACGGGGGGGAAAAAAACAGTAGAAACCTCAGGAAGAGCAACTGAGGAGGGATCCCTCTTCCAGGACGGACAGACGTGCAATAGATGTCGTACAGAACAGATCAGCATAATAAATTAACAGTAATCCGTATGACACAATGAGACAGAAAGAGAGACAGAGAGAGAGAGATGCAGGACAGACGGTAATGACAGTAGCTTACAACAACATTAATGATCCATCCCACCTCTGAAAGTACAAACGATTCTTTATATTAAAAGGTGTCACACTCTGATCAGTGTGTCACCTGTCCTGCTGTTGTTGGATTCCATTAGGCTGACTGTTTTGCTTGCCCACTGCCAAAGTATCAAATTGAGATCATTTTGAGGACTTGATGATGCAGTATAAACTTCTAGTGTTCACTTTGCTGCAGACAAAAAGATGTGAGATGACAGTATCATGTGTCTCTTTACAGATGTGAAGGTGCTGGTGACGAGATGCCCTCATATTACAACGCTAGATTTAAGGTAAGATCTTGTTCCTCATTGACAAGGGATGGTTTGTATGGTGTGCCATGTTTTTAAATATAATGCAAGTGTATTGATACTAGAAATGAAATAATTATATTTTATCTTTTAGTGTGGGAGGATGTAGCACAAAAAAGCATGGGCAGTAAGAAACTTCCTGATCAACATTTATATGAATACAATTATATATCAAAGGCCATAATTCCTAGATATTGGCACGCTGCCATGGTATTTGAATTTTTTTTTTTGTGAGGGAGTCCAGTAAACTCTTGGTGATCATTCTGAAGAGCATTAATCATATGCATACCTAATGTGACATAGGCTTAAAGTTGCTTAAAATATTGACTCGCTCCGAAATCAAAATTACAGAAGTTGTCATTCCCCACCAAAAAAAAGATCAGAATCAGGTAAAAATATGAGAAGTTTTGTGTCATAACAAGTTGTTTTTCACGTTCTAACAAGAAACATTTATTGTTAAAGCTTTTTCTGCCGCCTTTCCCTGCTGAGTTTGACAGAATTGTTAAAATGCTTCTTAGTGTAGGCCTGCAGTATGTATACTTATCATTCACCATGCTCAATAACAGCAAAATCTGGCCATTTCTCTGCTCAAGCCGGCAGTAGCACTTAGTCATGTGTAGATGAGCCATATTTCCTGTTTTAAAAGCTAAGCGGTATGTTGTTATAACAAGAAAAGTGTCTTTTTTTCTACAGGAAAAAGCTGTTATAGCATGAAAATATCTTGTAAAACATCTTAGAGCAAGAAACTTTTCATGTTATTACCTGACGGTAAAATTTTTTTTTTTTGTTTCTGGTGTGGCAGCAGCACTGAAAGCTCTGACTAACAGCTGACGGCACACTTCCTGTTCAGCACTTAGTCTGAGTGGGCAGAAGTTCGCTGCATAGATCAGCCTCTCATTGGGCGGAACGAGCCACCCGCTGAAGTCCTGCCCTACCACCTCCGGTTGCAGTTTTCAACACGTCCTTTACTAACTTTTGCGGTGTTTGATTTTGCTGGGATGTAGCCATTTTTCTGCCATGGTTCGCGTCCTGTAGGCGATATTTTTGTGGGCGTGTTACACCAAAACCTGTTTCCCCCCGGCAATATTTTTGCAAGCACACCATTGCTGTGGCACCGCCCAGAACGGTTGTGATTGGTTGAAAGAAATACAAGCAGCCGGGGCGTTTTTCTCCAATCTTAAAGTGAGAGTCGGCCCAGCCAGACCTTTCTTTTCTTGAGAAAGAATATTGCTCTGTGATTGCTGGATGTGTAAATATGCATGTTTTCCAACAAGCTGGTTTCTCTGTGCTACAGTGACAGCACTCTACTGATGGCCGACAGCTTCCCCGTCCTCAGTCAGCTGAAGGATCTAGTGCATCTGTCCCTGAGTCGCTGCTACCACATCCACCTCGCTGCTCTCACGTAAGTTCCCCTGCTGTCCTCCCTGCTTCTGAGTAGTAACTGAGTTTAGAAGTCCAAAATGTAACTTGTGTCATATTTCCAGTGACCTGGGGCAGACGTTCCCCCTGCTGAGCGTGCTGGACGTGTTTGGCATAGTAAACGGCAGCCACCTATCCTCTCTGAAGAAGGAGATGCCTCGCATCAGCATCAACCACATGCCTTTCTCCAACATTGCCCGGCCCACGCCTGACACCAGGCCCGTCAGCTGCCTCATGTGGAACAGGAAGTGTCGGCTGAGGTTCAGACTGTAACCACCACGCCTCCGTCGTGTTCTTAAGCTGAGTAAGTTTATGTTATGGAGTGTTTGATCCTGCAGTATTCCAACATGGTCCAGCCCTTTGTGCAGTGATGCCACCATCTTTCAGTGTTTGTTGCTGCTACTCATGTTTTTAGTGTTGCCTGGCATTAATGGTACTAAAGGTCAAATACTGGACCAAGCCTTTAAGTACTGAACATGCAAGCTTGTAGAGAATTGTAATACTTTATTTAGGAAAGTCAAATTTGAATGTGTAATCCCGTTCTTGTTGGAATATGTTCACACAGATGTTGAATGAGTTTTTGAATCTGTTTGAGGTTCTAATAATGTGTTATTTAAAATATCTTGTAAGGGAAACATGGTTTTAAAGACTCAATTGAAATGCTGACCTCTATTAGATGTCTGTAAGTATTTGGATATTTGGGAGTTGATTCTTCAGACATCTGAATAATGCTGATGTCACAAGTGTCTTGTTCTCTGCTGTAATAATGAGAGAACAGGTGATTTTAATGATTGAAGATGTTTTAATGTGAAATGATGTATCTGGATATTGAATTTCCAAGTAGTCAATATTCATGTTGAACAGATGTATATTTGTATGCAGGCCTTCACTATGTCGCTGTTTTCTACTGTAATAACGTCACCAGGCTGTTGTCTTCTCTCCAGCTGGACAGTAGTTTCTTTGATGATAAGCTCATTATGTCACAGTACATGTGTCATTGTAGATGTGCTGTATGTCCAGTGCTCTTTTATTACCATTTCATTCAAATGTCATACAGACTGAACTTTAATGGAACATGAGTTTTAACTTGTGAACTGTTTTATTTTCCTTTCTGAGTCTTAACAAGTAAACCACTGAATACACAAACTGTCTGAGCCTGTTTTCATGAACCCCAGCTGTTGTCACACTGACACAACATATCAAAGTTGAGCATGAAAGTTAATTTGTGACCTTGGGAGTAATAGTCTGACAAGAAATATCACATCATGCTCTTCATCAGTGTTTGTGCAGGCGCATACTATGTGTATATGTACGTATTCAATACACACATATCTTTATACTGTACATCTATGTATACATACACAAAACTGATGTGTGTTGATTAAATTCCTGTGATTACACACGTGGTGTGTACAAAAAGTACTCTGAGACATTAAGTAAAAATACAACAATGTAAAACATGTTCTGTTATACATAAAAGTCCTGTTTAATTAAAAGAACAGTACAAGAAAAGTATACGAGGTATCAGTGGTAAAAGTACTGGTTCTGCAGTAACATGTCCCCTGTAACTGATAAATATGACATAATATTGATACTGATGCATCAAAGCAGCATTTTACTGTTGTAGCTGCTTGACGTGGAGCTAATTAAACTAATCTGTACAGTTGGGTAGTTTCATCCCGTGGCTTTCAACAAGGGGGTCTGGCCCCTCCAAAGGGTCACCAGATCATGAGATGATTAATGGGAGACAGGCTAGAACCGGCCATAGGGCAATTCTGGCAAATGCCAGGTGAGCCAGCCCACCTTGTGTGCCGCAAGGCCACCACCCACAACATTGGGGGGAAAAAATGTACAGAAAAAAAACAAAGACCTGCAGCCTTTACTATCAAAAGGGCCATTTTTGGCCAAAAAGGAAAAAATAATCTGTCTGTAGCCACAAAACCTATTTGAGCCTCATAATAAAGGTAACACAGCCTTTTAAATCGAATTTAGCCTATCAACATTACTAACAGATCTAAATGAGCATTCATTAATTTGTTTTAGCCCAAGGTGGCTACTGTGCAGTGGGCTATATTTGATTATTTAGAACTTTAACTTTGCAGCATTGTTGATGAAAGCAAACAAATTTGTCCACACACTATTAAACTCTCTATTTTCATTGGAGACTTTTCCCTTTTTGGATTAGAAATCCACTACTGGCCTAGCTAGGGAGACTCAAGTATACTGTAGCTTTTGTTAGTGATGTGTTGAGATCAAAAGGTGCCAGTCCACAGATGTATGACGCACATTTTAGTTGGCAAAGTGTTAAAACTTTTTTTTTTTTTTAATCGGTGTATAGGCTATGCATTTTTAAAGCTGAAGAATGTAAGAATCACTTATGGTCTACAACAATACATGAAAATTAAAATGTAAAAAAAATAACGGTCATTCCATATAATTTTCTGTCAAAGTGACAGGGAGCCACTGGAGAGGGGCCAAAGAGCCACATCTGACTCTGAAGCCACAGGTTGCCTACACATGGATTAAGGGTTACAAGGCCCCAAAATTGTCAGCATACCTAAACTGTAAGGTATACTGTAAGGTACTGTAAACAAGGTGCAGCCATACCGGTTGACGTCACCTCCCCACCCCTTCAACTGGATTGGTCCATCCATGTGGATGTGTTGCTATTTTTGTAAGTTAAGATACTTACCCAGTGGACTGAAACACAGACGACCATTTCTCTCCAGCTGTCTTTTCGAGGTAACACTGGATGCACTGCAGGGACGTTGAGTCCCTCTAAAATAAATGACTGAAAAAGATTTAAAGTGCAATAGAATTGATTAATTAATTATCTTTAAATTATTCAAGAGATTATTCGAGTAACATTAAGACTTGTAGAAACATCTATTAACAACACTAACTGTTATATATCTAAAGTAGTTTTTTGAAAAGGGTATGCTTCACCTCCTTGGAATATGATATAACTTTCTTTTCTCCTCAGATGGATAGGTAACATCTTCAGTTTTACAGAAATGTAATGAAAATTGTTGGGGTATTTTTTTTTTTGTTTAATTAATGACAAGAAAGCTTACAGAAGGAGGAAATTTAAAAACTGTCCCAATCACCCTTAATTCACCTGATGTACCCTACATTACACTTATATTGCATTCTAGTTTTTTTTTTAAAAACATTTGAAAGTAAAGGAAATGACAGTGTGTTACACTGATTGTATCTACTGTACTCTCGCACAGAACTGCAGCACACTGTAATACTAGAATCAGTAGTGATAATAATGTCAATTTGTTAAGTTTAGATTTGATTTAAATCAAACTTTATTTATACAGCACTTTCATACAAACATGCAGCCCAAAGTTCTTCACAGAGCAGGATTAAAACAGCACAGAAAAAGTAACAAGTAAACAACTTGACATTACAGCACGAAAGAAGTGTTCAAAATAAATGAAAGGCAAAAGAACAAATAAACACAGGGGATAATAAAATACATACATAAATAAATAATATAACACAGCGATATAATAGTGCAATGGAACGGTGTGCAAATGGTGCTGGAATAAATATGGAATTATTAATGTAACAGGTTGCTTTATGTTCATGAGATAGGTGGATATGACAGCATATACCAGGGGTGGCCAAACTACAGCTCGTGGGCCAACTGCGGCTCACTACGCAGTTTTAAATGGCGTGTGGCAAATTTTTGAAAAAAGACTCAAAAATGACTTAAGCATATTTCTAATAAACTGTACTGTACGTAAATTGCACAGCCCAGTTAAACCAGGATGTCCGTGTCATCTTGAACACTGAGGCTACTATTGGCAAACCCTGCTATTGCACTTCTTAATTTGAACACTAGATGGCGACACTCTACCTTCAATGATTGATTACTAGTTGATAAAAGCATTTAAGTCAGTAAATATGGCGGTGGACCTGAAAAGAAGAGAAGAGAAATACCTTCACATGTTGGCACACCAGTTAACCACTGTTATGTCTAATGTTACACTGCTTAGTAGTGTTGTGTAGTAATTTTCATGCAAAATGAATTTTCCTTGGCAAATGGGCTTTTATTAGTTTAGAAACACTGATTTTCTTGCCATGTAAATGATTGAAAATGATGCATTTACTATTGTTTAGCCTGTGACTCTTCATATGTTTCTGTGAATGGCCCACAATCCTAAATGCCCTACACCCCCTGCTGTAACATTAGGCATTTTGTGGACAGCTTCATATTTGAAGCATCCTGCATCACTTTGACTGAATTCATTTCTAAAAGGGTGTCTATAGTGAAAATTAAAGGGTGGGTGCACTCGAATTACAAAAACATTGGGCCTCATTCACTAACATGCGTAGAAATGTTTCTTACCCTGCACATGAAATAGATGCACACATAAATAACCATTAGATTCATGACACACGTGCACCAGCCAATTTGTTTAAATTGACAGGTAATAGCATACTGCCACGCCCCCATTTCTCTCTATAAAGAAATACGTTTGCCCAGAAGGTATCATGGAGATGCACATATTAAGGCCACACACACTAGAGTCAGATCGTCAGTGAGTGTGTGTGAGCGTCTCCGCAGTCTGAAACAACTGATAAGCTGTTCACTCTCTATAAACATGTTGTGTCAGTCTCTGAAGATGTGCTCTCCTGAAGGCACAGACTGCAGTGTCTTCCAGCAAGATCAGATATGACGTCTCAACACCTGCTTGGATGTAAATCAAAATACTGATTCCTGTTAATAACAATAATAATAATAATAATAATTATTATTATTATTATTATTATTTCATGGTACTAAAATTGATGGGAGTAGCTATCGTTACAGACAGGTTTAATGAAAAACAATGAAAACCAAAACTTCTGAATATCATAGAAGGCATTCTCATATATTCCACTGTAAGTTAGGGCAAGGACACTCAGCTTTTATAGTCAAATATTTAAACTCTGACAATAATTGATGAGGATGAAAGGGTATGAAATTAGTGCATGCATTAGTAAATTAAAAGTTTTAAATATTGTCTATTAAAGCCTTTTTTCAATGAATGTAGTTCTAACATTCTATGCATTTAGTTCAAAGGTGTGTGTGTGTGTTAACGTTTTCTGAAGACAGCCAGGCCTTTATCATTTGTGCCTATGCTTGGTCTGTGGCAGTTCTAAATTGGTTCACAAAGTATAAACAAATTCGGGGAAGCAAATATTGATGAATCCCAGATTTGTGCGTAAAATGTTTGTATGGATGGTTTAAGCACAGACTCCACTGTCTCCACCATGATAGAGTTGAGGTAAATGGAATTTCATTTTTAAAAAAACAATAGTAACATCTGTTTACAGAATCAGAGTGTCCATCAATACTGTGGATAATCCACAAATCTCAACATTGGAACTATTGTTCACCAAAGAAAAAGTCCCAATGAAAACTGAGGCAGGTGTCTTAAAACTGAGCAAAACCACAGCTCTCTGCATGACCACATACCACCAGAGCCAAGGAGAGAAGTGGTTTGTTTGTTTTATTTAGGTGACCTAATCCTTTCAGTCTGACCACTTACATACAATTAAAGGAATAGTTCGGATTTTTTTAAAGGTTGTATGGGGTAATCACAGTTTACAGTTTTGTGCAATAGAAGTATTTTAAAAGTACTTAAGGGGCAGTACAGTTTTTTTTCAAGTGGGGTTGTATGAGGAACTTATCCATCGACAATATATTACATACATTAGATGTCAGGCTGGGGTCTGATGCAGAAAGTAAGCAATGCTCTGCTGTTGAGGGATCAGCAAAAAAAAAACACATATTTAAGCCCCCTAACAAAAAGTCCCACCTAAAAAAGACTGTACCAATCTAAGTGTATGATATATTGAGAGTATTTTCACTGCTTTACTTCTTTGTCAGACAGCTTGTTTGGATAGGGAAGCTGTTAATGGCCTCAGTTCCCTATCTAGGCTAAGGCAAAGCATCCAGACTCTATTCAGAAAAACAGTAATTTCACCTGGCTGACCACGGGAGCTGCTTGTCTACCACTGCTTTGTTAGATTAGGTATTTTGTGTTATTGTGTGGCTTTGGTGAATCTAAACTAACCCTTTTAAACACCAAAGTCACACAACACAAACTAACTGTTCAAGGCAGTGGCAGACCAGCAGCTCCTGTGTTCTCTGTTTTTCTCTAAAAGCCCAGTCTGGCTTTGAAGAGAGCAATTTAACAACCTCATTTTCCAGTTGGAAATCATTGTCCAACATTATAGCAGTGAAAGTACTCTCAATACAGCACGCACTTAACCGGATACCCCCCCCCACAGGAGTAGATTGCTTAGCTTCCATTATGGACTCAAGCCAGCTTCTCCAAACTGGGGGCGTGCTGACCGTCATCTACTGTATGTAATATACTCTCTATGGATAAGTACACCATACAACCCCACTTCAAAAAGAACTGAACTATCCCTTTAACAGTGCATCAGTAATACATCTACTACAGATGACAAACAGGCAGTAATAACTTTAAATAAGCACACACAAGCATTTCTTTTTCTTATCACTTTATCTGATTGTAAAACAGCACATCCTAACATACTGACACATCATATTGATAAGGACCCCTGCCTTTGGCACGCTGCATATTACAATTTCCTGGTTGTTTTGTAAACTAGTCCTTAAGAAGAACACCTTCTGGTTCAGAGTCCAGGGCAGATAGGTGTTACAAGGTGCACCAACAATATTTTATCAATTAAGTGGAATTACAAGTGTATACAAGAGACCAACTAGATTTTGATTTAATATTTTAAATTGTTACAACCATACTACCGTGTTGGTCAGACTGTGTATATTTTAATTTCAGCATCATCATACAGCACTGTTCAAGCATTTAGTGTCAGGTAGCTTTACAGGATAAAAATCATTTGTTTGTACCACTTTCTACCCAATAAAGTTTACACTGTATTTTTTGTTGTGGAAATTTTTAGCATGTTTGCCTCAGGCACATGCAAAATATTGCTAAATTTGTGGTCTTGTGAGAGGTTAGAAGACATACTTTTGACCTAAAACATGGAGCAAAATGCTCTTTTAAGCATGGAGTTGTATTTTTAGTGCACTTACATTTTTCCCCTGACTTAATTCTCAGCTCAAATGGCTCAACCAGCTAGAAAAAAATATACACTCTGTTCCAAAAATATCTTAATTCAACAAACAAGCCATAACAAACAGCCTGTGTTTTTAATTCACCATATAATATTCCATATTTTTCTTTTTGGCAACAAATCTCATGTGCAGACCCAAAGCAACAGTGATGGTATCTTCTAACATGTACTGTGTGTGCATTACAGCCTGATATATCTTCTCCCTCTGTGCCAGACAGCATGAAACTATTAAAAGACATCAGTGAGTTACACTGTTGCACTGGATGACATATCTCTTCATCACCATGAACACACTCACTGTAGTTTATTTTGACTCACTGTCCTGCTGCCCCTCAAATACTCAGGAGGGCACCAAATGTGGATTCATCCACCCTTGAAAACAGTCCCTGACAAATGCACTATTTCCTCCTGTTTGAGCAACCTTTATGAAAAAAAATAGTGATCAGCTGTTTTAGGATATTACTGGGCTTTTTTTGATTAAATTGTATATTTGTGAGCTGTTCTCTGAGGCTGCTCCCAAATTCGAAAAAAGATTCCAATCATCATCGTCAGTCAGTGTAGCTGCAGAGTGAGCGCTCCTCGCTTTCACGCTGCTCTCTGGGGTTAAATCATTACAATGCGTCAAGTTGTACTGTCTGCTCACTGAGAATGTCTACAAAGGGTACAGGCAGCTGCAGACCCAGACCCAGGGTGAGGCTGAGAGGAAGGAGGCAGCTGTCAGAAGTGAGGGGCTTTGCCCAGTCAGGCTCAGATGTTAAGTTATCTTCCGCCTTCTGTTTCTAAGTGGTGAATTTATAGTTTAAAGCACCTTAATACGATCATCTCTGACTTTTGTTTGATATCTAGTGATGCCAAAAAAATGTTGCTGCACACTCCAAATCAGTCAGTGTGTCAGCATAATTAGCATGCACTGGCTCGGAGGGCAAACTTGGTTTGTTTACTCAGGCCCCCAGGACCACTCTTCAGTCTTGCTGATCATTTATCCCAGTGGCCACTCATGGTATTGCAGCGAAAAATCCCCTGCAACCCAAAAAGCATTTTCCACATAGGCCAACATTATAAATGGTCAGTTATGACTCTCCTGTTTTGACTTCATGGAGGTTATATATCTGTAAAACTTTCCTCAAGCCGGCAAAAGTCTACGAGCAGAGCAGGAACTCGGGGGTGGGGCCAGCGGAAGAATCAGTAATGCGCATATTCAGTAGGCTGCATACCACGGAAGTAAACCCGGAAACTAAAACCTCTTTTTGGTGTATGCACCAGGCGAGCAGCTCCATTGGAATGAATAGGTGCCATTTTGCCATTTGGTATCTAGGCTTTAGTGAAATCTGTGTTTACTATATTACATGAACGTTGCCGTCACCCTTGACATCCTTCCCCAACCCCGTTTAAACTCTATATGATAACAAAAGGAACGAATAGTCAAATATTTGTATCGAACAGCCACATCCTATTCGACTAAAACAATTCTTAGAGGAGCCATAAACATGCCGCATTTCTTGCACCCTCAAATTCCTTGTTTTCAATGTAGACGTGTGGCAGGTGTGTTCAAACGCCAGAGCGGCAGGCACACGCAGCTGAGTACCTATTTTTCTTGCCGTGACAGATGCGACCTGAGATAAACTGGGTTGAACTTTTGGAACGCAGCAGCACGCACCACATCACCTGATGAGGACCACCAAATCACAGCCAATCAACATCTTTCCCTTCTTCCAGAAATATCAGTCTGTGATACATATGGAGAAGAAGATTATCATTTTAGTGCAGGGCTGTCAGAACTTTACATCTGTCCCACAGACAATAGGCCTTCACACAAACAGTGCCTGGAAAAAGATCAGCTCTGCACTCAGGATGTCAGGTAAATAGACTGAATGATGTTAAGGTTGCATGGCAACCTCAGATGCAACCTGCCACTGCGCTCTTGAAATCTGGCATAGAAAAGGCACAGGAGTAGCTCCCAGTGCCCAACCTCCTGTTTTCCAGGTGGTTTAAGACATGGCATGTGTACGGCTCCTAAGTCGGGTAGAGCCCCTCTGTTTTCAAAAATACATGTCTTCAGTAGAAACCACTGAATTTGGGCTGAGTGACACAGACAGGTAGTCAGAAAGTAGAGACAGCTGATTGGAATTTGCTGACAATAAAAGAATATGCAACATCATTCTTATCCTTCAAGTCATTCACTGATGGCTCCATAAGTGTGAAAGCACAAAAAAATCAAATCTGAAACAGGTACAAATTTACACAACTGTTTTCTAAGAACAGAATCACATTGTGTTCTACCTAATAATCAATCAATCAATCAATCAATCAATCTACCTGACCTTCCATCTCTTCCTCTGCTTAATGACTCTGTTGGTTTGATGCAGTGACAGACAGCCAATAGTAATGTGCTTTAAATGTTGCCTGACACAGGATCTACAAAACAGATTATTGCCATTATAACCCAGAGCTTTATAACCTGTTTTAAATTGGGGATATTGGGATGGACAATAAAAGAAAAAAAATCTGATTTGGAAATAATTAATCTGTAAAAATGCACACATTTCATAAAACAATTGTAACAATGATACCTTTCTTCCAGGTATAAAAATATTCAACACTTGTGGAGGCTAAAGCTAAAACGTGGTACTTCCCTTTGACCACATCCCTTTGAACAGTTGGCTTAAGAGAAACCAGTCATGTGTCATGTACGCTGGACTCCTCTCAGTTATCAAGAACAACCGTCCGCAGCTGGTCCTCCTCGCTCATGCTGACTGTAGCGATGGCCCCGTCATTGAACTCGAATGAAGTTCCACCATCGACCACCATGCAGGCATCCCAACACCGTGAGCGGACAGACACCCTGAAGCAGCAGACGCATCATTACATTCAGACAGCTTTACAGCTTCTATACATGGTGAATTCTTATTTGGCTTTTGTTTTGAGAGTGAGGAACATGCACTGACTTGCTGGCGAAGCCTCTCTGCCGACTGCTGGAGAAGACTCGGTTGACAATGGGCTCCCTGATGCTGTAGAACAACCGTCGGTCATCTGGACTGAACACCAGAGACTTGTTGTATTCATCAGTAACTGAATGCACAGAGATACCACTGTCACATAAAACAAAATGTCTTCAGATGTACTGGTTAAAAATCAAAAAAGGACAATTATAAACTCACCCTTTTCTATGAAGTCATGGCTAAGTGGGATATCAAGACCTGTTTGAGAATATCCTAAAAAAAAGCCATGGTGTTTTTCAGTGAAATCACATTCCATATTTGGAGACCAACCTGTTTTTTTAGGCTTCAAATTTGTATATGCACATACCGATTTTTAGAACCTCCCCCACAGCTTGTTCAGCGAGTTTGTTGATGTTATATGACCTGTGGACATCAGGAGAGAAAAACACAGAAAAAGAGTAGACAAGTGGATTAAAGGGACTCTATGCAAAATTCAGAGCATTCGAGTTGTCTGGTCACAGATAGCAACATGGAGGTGGCTGAGCCAGCAGCTAGCAGCAAACGATGCTAACTCCATAAACATACTTAAAGGGATAGTGCACCCAAAAATGAAAATTCAGCCATTATCTACTCACCCATATGCCGATGGAGGCCCTGGTGAAATTTTAGAGTCCTCACATCCCTTGCGGAGATCGGCGGGGGAGTGGCCAGCACACCTAATGGCAGACGGCGCCCCAGACTAACGTCCAAGAACACAAAATTGAATCCACAAAGTATCTCCATACTGCTCCTCCACAGTGATCCAAGTGTGCTGCAGCCGCGACATAAAAAGTTGCTTTGAAAAACGTCATATGAACTCTGACTGCTTCTCTGTGCTCCGAGCTCATGCGTGTGCGCTTGTGCGCAACCAGCGAAAGCATGAGCTTTGCTCACCCGTGTTTATATCACGTGACACGTGCACCGCACGGGGAGACAACAGTAACCACAGTAGCTAAAAGATAATTTGCACTACGGTCGTTTGGGATAGGACAGCCCAACATGTCTGAAGACTTTGAAATTGAGGAGGAACAGCATTTCTTTGTTGAGCCGTATTTGTTTGAGCCCAAGTATATGGATGCGGAACTCAGGCTACTGGATGAAGCAGCTGCCGCAGCTCATGAGACTAACCCTCAGCCAGCCGCGGAATACCGGAGTCGAGAACTGGAAACCTGGTGATGTAGTTGTTTCAAATGCAAAGCAATGAGAAGGTCTCTGCTGCTCAGACTGGGAATTGGCGATGCCTGCACTTGAGAATCTGGACATCAGTACTGACGAGACTGCTGCTCTTCAGAGACCGTGCATCACCGATCACCCTGAGCGCGCACACGTGAGCGTGACGTTTTTTGAAACAACTTTTTATGTCGGGGCTTCAGGACACTTGGCTCACTACGGATGAGCAGTATGGAGATACTTTGTGGATTCAATTTTGTGTTCTTGGTCGTTAGTCTGGGGCGCCGTCTGCCATTAGGTGTGCTGGCCGCTCTCCGCGCCGATCTCCGCAAGGGATGTGAGGACTCTAAAACTTCACCAGGGCCTCTATCGGCATATGGGTGAGTAGATAATGGCTGAATTTTCATTTTTGGGTGCACTATCCCTTTAACAATGGCAACAGTACTGACAGAGGCCCCTTTTATGCTGCCTCTTCAAGGCGGGAATTTCACTCCATTATTCCACCTCGCCATTCTGTATAAAAGGTTCAATCACGGAATGGAGGGACAGAGTTCTCTCGCCTTTAAGGCAGCATCGGAAGTAGTAACAGTGCTGAAACAACATCTGTATTAACAGAACAGCCAGCAGGATGGGCACATGGGTGTGACGTTTTGATGACTTGCCCCGCCGTGGGAGATGTAAAAGGTAGCTGTTAGCGGTTAGCAGCTAACTCAAGGAAGAAGAACACTGGCCGAAAATGTCCACAAATTAGGAAAAAAATGAGGTCCAGGAGATCCTTACCCTCTGAGCAGAGGACGAGATCAACCACCATATAACAGGGACGGTAAATGATTGTTACTGACATGTTATGCCACTGTTATTGTTTAGAAAGCACTGCTGATGTGATTGCTAAATGTCACACTAGAGGCCAAAGCTGCTGTGTTACATGTTACACCAGTCACGCCCGTCATGCACCTTTTGCCTCCGGGATGCTGACATGCTGTCTAAAATCGCATACTAGAGCGGCATGATGCAGCCGTTGTTTGTTTTTTTTGTAAACATGCAAATGCTGCATAAAGAAGGGACTTTGTAGCAGCTCTACAGCATAATCTCCGTTTAAAAAATAGCTAGTGCTAACAGTGTTTACCAGAACCAGAACCTGTGGGTGGACACTCTGTTTCCATGATGCTGTCCTGATATCAGCAGTAACTGCCATATAAGCTCAGTGTGAAGCAGCGGTGATGAGCTAGCCAGTAGGATACACACATAGACTTACATTCACCCACGGCTGGACCAGCTTACCACAACAAACCACAAAGAAGCTCAGATTGCAACACACACAGAGGTAGCATGACTTCATTGTCTGCTCTGGGCGCTAGTACTCTACTATATCTTAACATAGCAAATGGGAGTTTGCTGCTATATAAATGCTCTGATTGTCACATACAGAACCATTCATACAAGATTTAACGCATGCAGTGTCACAATACAATGTACTGTGGTGACTCGACACTGATACATGTTGGTGATGATTTAGATAATGTAGAAACTCAGTTTACTGCAGGATTTTGTAATTCAATATGCTGGTGTGCCACTGAATGAACAATTGGCAATTTAATAACAATATTTTGGAGCAATGATTTCAGCTGGAGACACTCAAGCTAATATTATTAATGACACTGTGCATGTTCTAAAGTTCAGCAATGCAACAATTAAAAAACATAAATCATGTGTTCTTAAATCTTTACCGAACACATCACTGACATTTTATCAACCCACAAAACTACATGCTAGTGTAGAAAGCTTAAGATAAACTTCAAAATTTAATCTTAATTTACAGTTTTACAACCATACAGTAACATGGAGTGACATAAATCATCTCATCTAACTCTCAGTATGAAAGTGATTAAGCATATTTCCCAAAATCTCTATGACCTCCTTTGTATTTCACGTCTAGATTTGCAATTGGAGGAAAATTACTTTTCCTTTAATCTTACTTAAGTCCCTTATATTGTTAGAGTGAGGACTGATAATGCCGTTTTCCCACAGGCCCACTTTAAATGTACTGTGCTGCGCTAAAGGCATACTGACATTATCACAGGAAAACAGCCTTTGTGTATGTAGTTCAAACTTGTTGAACTTTGACCAGAATCTGCACAGAGCTTTGTGGGCGCAGCAAAATTTTGTGCTCACTGTTTAAACTGAAAGGTGAATATAAAAATAATGACATCTGTCTGAATATTCAGAACTGTACAAAAACAAATTGGCCTCAATCAGAAACAGGAAAATAATAGATGTTGAATTGGGGAAATATTAGCATGTAGATGCAGTTACCAGATTTGTTACAAAAAACACAGTTTGATTCTCTGAAACTTAACAATCTACTGCTAGAAACACTGGCCTTGCAGCTAAGTTGCCCATCAGGAGTTCTATCGTGGTAAATACTGTGCTGACCAACACCTGTGTTTTCTGCTGCAATGCTAATACACCTTAAGCCATGAACTAACGGCCCAACATGTGTGACTGTGCTGGTGTCTAGAAACTGGCTTTGCTTGGCTTTCACGTTGTACTGTCAGTTATCAGCCTTGTGTTTACTGATTGCTTTTACAGCTGAATCAGAGCATGGGGGCCTATATGGCCTGTTGGTAGGGGTTTTCGGTCCTTTATAAACCAAATCACAATGTTTATTGACAAATACTTCTGACTAGAAAACCCTTACATCATGTACATAAAATCTGACAGCGCTGAGCCGCCCTAATTGATTAGTTTTTTTGCCACCTAAAAAAAGACCCACCTAAAGAAATCACTATCAGTTTAAGTGTATGCTACTTTTAGAATGTTTTCACTGTTTTACCTTGCTGTCAAACAGTCTGTTCAGAAGGGGGAAACTGAAGCCGTTGTATCAAAGCCCCCAGACTCCAGTGACAGAAATAGTTATTTTACTTTACAGAAAACTGGAGTTGCTGGTCTACCACAGGCTAGATTGGTTAGTGTGTAAAGTTAGCCAGTATTTAAATATAGCATACACTTATACTGACTAAAGCCCAGTTCAGACCAAAGACAAGACGAGTGCTTTACACTCTAAAACCAGCCACCGGCGATTTGACCAGCTGAGTTGCAGGTGACACCATCAGTCGGCTTGAGTCAAACTCAGACCGGCCGGTTCACACTGCTGCAACTTTTCATTACAACGTTCTTAAACAGTTTTGTCTCATCGCGAATATTTGGTCTGAAATGGGCTTCAATAGAGTGGTGCAGGAATGAGTCCTAAAACCTGTAAATGAGTTAGCATTTTTGCACTCCCGGTTCCCTCATCTTGAAGTCAACGGGTTTTTTGAATGGGTTTTTTGTTAGATGCCTGAAATAAGGTCTGTGGTTAACACAAGCTGAAGAGACTTTAATGTTTGTTCTGCGTCATTAAATACGTCATTAAATATCCCACTGTGAATTCTGAAGCCTTTATTTGTCTTTAAAAAGGCAATTGCTAACAGGTGGCTAAATGAGACTGCAGAACATCATCACCCTGAACACGGCTATACAGCCTCATCGTGGTGATGACGTTAAGTCATGCAACCTCAGTGTAGTTCATTTATAACGTTGGCTTTTTACTTCTGGCAATTGCATTTAAGCTTCAATAATCATAAAAGTGGTGTTCATTTGTGAATAATATCTTTCTGAACAAAACATGCAAGTATCATAACCATTTGTTTGCCACAGAGCTTATTTTCTGCCATTATCCGAAATCCAACAGGAAAATCCCATTCAATTTTTGACGAGGGAACAAAGCGAAGCTAACTTCTGCTTCAGCCTACAAAAAAATGTCTTCTCTAATGCACTCTATACGTTTTGCTGTGGCCCCGTCCACAGCAGTACATCGTTTGTCTTCTGTGCTTTGTTTTATCAAAAATGCTAGAAAAACAACACAGTAAACAGAATAAGTCAGAATGAGTCAAACCACCATGTTTAAACATTACAGTACCAGCTGAAAATGACAACAAATAAACAAGTTTGCAGATTTTACATATCTCCACAATTGCAATCAGTTGCCAGTTGTCTACCCGGAAGTGATTGCTGTTAGTGCAATGTCGTGGTGATTTGCATTATAAAGTCTTTGTATTCTTGTTCCAATTGCTGTCAGATTAACTGAAACACTCTCTCTTAGGTACTAATGTTAGCCATAAGAGCCATGTCCCAACTTCAACTCTTAAATACAAAGTGGATGTGGATTAGGCACTAGTAAAACATTCAATGTTTAGCTGAAAGTAGAGTATATTTACCAGGCTTTGGATCCTGTTCCTGTACAAATGCTGAGTCCTGAACTCTTCTGCTTTTCCCACGGGCCGTCATCCACAGAGATCTCATAGTAGGAAGCCCTATGGAGCAAGAGGTTAACATGGGGTTTGAAGGAGTTTAACTTCATCCTGTGGTGGACAGAAATTCCTCTGATGAGTGGTAGAGACGAGCAGGGTCGTTGTGAAAGGGCTGGGGATTAATGAGGGTTACAAAATGCACACAGACACAGGTACACTATATTTAGACGGAGTTAAAGTGCATTGGTTTGGCTGACAGAGGTACCTGGAGGACAGAGATTCTCCAATGAAGATCTCATTCAGGCTTCTGATAGGGAGGAGGCTGGGCTTGGAGTAGCTCTCAGGTAGTATTCCTGTCCCTGAGAAATGTCACAGAATTAGCAGAAGAACAGTGAGAGAACATAGACTGCAACTGACAGAAACATATTGATCAAGTTCCAAACTGGAGGTCAATATCTATCTAAGTCACTCTAAGTCAGTGTCATCTTGTGCAAAATCAGAGGGTCACACAGGAGAGCAGGCCAAAGGACACAGAGACATCAGACAAAGACACATGATGGGTGCTGGAGTCGTACTCTGCTGGCCATCCATGGTGGTGATGCGGTGAGCTTGGTTGTGCTGCTCCAGGCTCAGCTGCTGTTCGTGCAGGTCCACGGGGGTGGGATTGATTCCTGTGCCCTCTAGGTGTACACGGATCCTCTGACGCCACAGCCACCTGAACGCAGCACAGGAGAGGGACAGAGCACCATTAGGCTGAATTTTTTTTTTTTTTTTAAAGATTATTTTTTCGGGCTTTTGCCTTTAATGAACAGGACAGAGTGAAATGGGATGAGAGAGAGCGGGGGGTTGACACGCAGCACATGGTTGCAAGCTGGAGTCTAACCTGTGACCGCTGCAGCGAGGCATCGCCTCTGTACATGGGGCGCCGGCACTATCCACTACGCTACCGACGCCCCAGGCTGAAACTTAACCAGGTGGTCATCTTTTACACATCTGGCGTCAGTAAATCATATCATACATTACTCTATCTCTAAAGATGTTCGAGCCTGACACATCATGTTTGATCCACACCTATGTGAGGGTTGTCTTCATAACTGCATACATAGTGAAACATATTAATTTTTAGAAACATTTGCATTATAAATTTGTCCCAACACTGTCCTGCTAAATCTGTATTGGCAGTATATGTAACCTATGTTGGGTAGCAGAAAATTACATGTAATCAACATGTAATCAAACTAGTAGTTTAACTACATTTTGCTGGTAGTTCAACTACATTCATATCTGCATAGTGGTTCAAGTAGTTAAATCACTTTTTTGCCATGTTGTGTGTTATTTACTACTGAAACTCCAAACAATTTGGGGCCATACACGGAAAAGAATGATTTTTTTCCTTTTATTTTACCCTTGCTTCTATACTACACTGAATCTTCTATGACCACAATTTGTCAGAGGTATTGATGATTGCTATTTTGTTCAGAGAATTTGTTTGCTGTTTCTGAAGTGACCTGGCTAACGGAGTAATCCTGCTTAGTGCAAAAGCCCTACCTTGACTCTAGTTTCTGAAAGACAGGTGTTTGACAAAACTACACATAAAACCAAAGCTGGCATTACTGCACTTTCACATGCAAAGTGGGGCATATTATTTCTTGGAATTTATGTATGACCTGAAAACAAGTGGGCACCTTTTGCGGTGAACTAAATTAAATGGTATTTTATCACGGCACATAACTTTTTAAAATTACATTTTGTTTTAATTCTGTATCACATGTACATTGACTTTTTTTTTTTTTTTTACAAAGCAGTTTGAACTAATTTTTCTAAGTAGCTCAAGTTAACCAAACTACATTTCTCCCGAGGGTAGCTATACTGTCATTCAACTTCCTCAAGTGTGAAGTAATTGGTAGCTTGCAAACCTATGCTAGCTTTCCCAACACTGTATGTAACCTAGACATCACAGATGTATCCGGATATCAATGTAAATGGATATTTTGACTTAAAACAAACCTAAATCAATTCTTTCTTCTTGGATGTTCTACTGAACTTCTATTACACTTATTAAAAAACCCTGAGCAGCAGGTTTAGAGAATCTCAGATAGAGTGACCTCTAGTAGCAGTTAGGTCATTTCTACAGACACACTAACTGGATTTAAAATATCCCACTTAGTCTGAGGACACAGCAGAGGGGTATTAGACACCTTGTGACTTTCTCCAGACAACACAGGCTTAAATTTGTCTGGAACTCTACACTCATGAAGGAGCAACAGCCCCGAGTTGTTTACCAATTTACAAACAGCAGTCAGACATTTTGGATATGGTCTGCATGACCTATCCAAATGAAAAGAAATGAAAAGATGACTGAAGTTAAAGGTCATATGTATAGCTGTTTCATCAAAACAAATATTTAAAAAAAAAAAAAATACATCCATAGAACGTCTAGAAAGGTGTAGAATTAAAGTCTATATTTTCCTGAAAAAAATATTTACAGTAGAGAAATAATTGTTTTAGAAATTTTGACGGGCCCAAAATATGTCAATATTTTGATTTGGTTATGTTGGTTACGGGGGGGAGCTAAGGGTTGCCAGATTGTGAAAACTGCAGAGGTATGGCGTCGTCCCAGCACTATCCATCGCAAATTCTAGCTGACCAACGGAGAAGCAAAACCAGAATCACCATCGGTACAGCTTTTGATTGTTGGTGTCAGCTGAAGGCAGAAAAAGGGCTAAAAAGCCATGCAGAGGTTGCAGCTTTCCTTCTGGACAGGTAAGCTAATATTTGCTAACTAACTCAGCAGGGTTGTAAAAAAATATCTACTGCTGAATATATCTAATATCTAGTAAACCGAACTGTCATGTTATTATTATTATTATTATTATTATTATTATTGGTGGGAAATTATAACAGAGGAATATATTTGCCGTTTTAATATCAAGAAGACTTTTGTGTTTTTGTGTATATACAGGATGTTGTTGAATCAGGGAATCCGTGTGTCCACCACGACAAAGGATCCTAATTGACTAATTACGTTAGCATTAGTGACGAGTAGAGCTAAAAATGCTTTACGGTGATTGTTACAGTGTGTTACAGGGTGCACAACAGAGGATTCATGATTTACTATTATTATTATTTTTTAATTACTATACCACAAAGACTCTTCACTTGACATCGCTGTCTCCAGTGTCTGTCATTTACGAACCTGGCAACCTGAAGAATTGAAGAGTGGAGCGAGAGCAGGCAAGTGTGAGTGCGACATTTACTGACCGGGAAGTATGAATCCTCTATCTATTACCTTTAAGTGACAGCACACACACAGGAGGACAGGGCAGCATGTTGACCAGAAGAAAGTCACAGTGAAACAGCGCGAGGATTATTTGTGGGATTATTTGTGAGTAAATACGCACCTGAACTCACCACGAAAGAGTTTCTCCAGTGCCTCTGGGAAGGCACGAGTGTACCGCACAGGCAGGCACAGATGACCCTCTGACCTATAGTTGAAAGAGACAAATGTAATGAACTCAGCTGAATTAAGAGGACTGTTACATAGTAACAATGCAGAGTAATGACACAGCATGTTCAGCTTACTCTCAAGTGTGTATGGACACATTTTCTAAGACGTTTTCTCCACTACTTCTTCCAAAGAACCACAAAATCATGTGTGATTGTTCTACACATTTAACAATCCCTTCTCAAAAAGTGCTGTTCAGTGTTTTACCTCTCAGGGTCTGTGTTCACTCCAACAACTGGTTTGTCCTTGCTTAAAACCTTGCTGGCAACAAGTAACATTGTCCCATCACCTAACAAAAAAAACTGCAGTTAGAGAAGTTGTATTGTGTACTTGCATCTGTTGTCTGAGGCCTTTGTTCATGTGACTTTTTGTCCCCTGAATTGAATAAGTTAAAGGTATACTCTGCAGGATTGTCAGTTACTGTTCGTAAACACACTCGCCAGTGAAAGTAAAGGTAAAACCCCAGATTCACTCTCGTTTGGCATTTCACATTGCTATACTTGTGGGGGGTTTTGCCACTGTCTCTCTTGGATGCCAACTGCTTACAGTCTGGCACCTGGTCGCTACCTTTTTATAAAGCCCCGAGGAGGTACTAACAACACATAAACAGTGTCTGCATAAACGTGACATCCAGCAGGACGGGATCATGGGCAGGATGGGTGTGACAATTTGACATGATATGTATGCAACTCACCACAGGAAATTTAGCTGTTAGCAGTTAGTGGCTGACTCAAAGAAAAAGAACAGTGCTGTAAATGTCCGCAAATTGGAAAAACAATGTGGTCTGGGAGCTCCTTACCCTCCAAGCAGAAGACAAGATCAGCTGCCATATAACAGGGACAGTGATAATTATTATTGTCATGTTTGGCAAATGTTATTGTTTATGAAGTGCTGCCAACATGTATCATACTAGAGGCCAATGCTGTGGTGAGACATGTCATGTTCTGTGTAAAAATGCAAAGGCAACCTAAAGAAGGGCTTTTGTAGCGGCTGTATAGTGTGAAAATACTGTGTAATAAGGGCTGAACAGTGAATGGCCTACTTCATGTAAAATGCTGCTTCAGAGGCTTTTCACCATGACCAGAACACAGTTCTCTGAAATAACAATGAATACTTATTGTGGGCACATCTAGAGATTTAAGATTTTGAACACTGCACAAAATATTGTCAATCAGCAGCAGTATCAGGCTTATATCTTAAAACAACATTGCTAAGGCACTGCCCTGGGGATAACTTAACCTGCTTCCTCAATAGCTTTCTCTTTACTTTGGCATTGTGATGCCAGCATTACTACACAGGAGTGGAAATGTATGCATATGGGAGTAGTAGATTCACTGAATGTGGTAAAACAGGCATACTGTTGAAATTGCACTCATTTTTCTTAAGATATCTCAGGCTGTTTATCATCTGTTTTGTAAAAGGATGTACCTTACCAGAATGTACTTCTTTACATAAAAAGACAGGGAAGCATTTGGGGCTGCTGGTATTTATAGGTTACTCTGCAATGGGTTTTTTCAGGTCCAGCTAACTAAGATCAAATTGGGCTGTACATTAATTGTATTTACCATGTGTGTGCACTGGGTGGCACTGTACTGGTATTTTGGGCTTAGTGACTAAAGGTAGGAAGGACACTGGTGCGGTCAGGTGTTTGACCCTGGAAGGGCAAATGGTTTTTGACAACTGTGGTGCTGAAGATTGTTCAACAAGCTGAAAGTTGTGTGTTTGGATTTTGGATGAAAATGAAGAAATTGGCATTTATTTAACCTTATGCATGCTGGTATAAGTAAATATGATGATTGTTCAGCAACTGGAGTCTGTAGATCATTTTCTGAATGCAACACAACAAAGGGAAGCTGTGGCATCAACCAAAGCAAGTGCATCAGCCAAGTCAGGCCAGATAAAATATCTCAGTAGCTGCAGGTATTAGCTCCAACAGACTATAAGAAGTTTAACACCCCTGCTTTATACTGTATTTGTAATGAATCAATGTGTCAGGCAGAGGAGGCTGAAGTACAAAAAAACTGCAAAACCCAAATGACCAGATAACAAAACTCCTACCTCCTGCAGAGATAACTGCATCTGCCCATCGAACTACTTCTTCATCATATTCTCCTCTCTTCACAACTCGTACTTCAACGCCCTCTCTCCTGCAAACACATTATCATAAATCAGTCTTTTATGACTACCATCCCAGCTGCAAAATAAGGAAATCTTCCTTATCTGCTTCCTGGAAATGTGACGGATAATCTACTTGTGACAGGCCACATCTTACCGCAGGCACTTCACAATGTGTTCAACATTGTTAGTGTGGATGTTGTGTCTTTCCAGCAGGCCGCTGTAACTGGAGCCCTTCATAGCAAGCTGCAAAACAGACAAAAAAAATCATCAGATGTTAAGTGTAGGGTTGCAGAGGTATACTGGTTTCAAGGTATACCGTGGTCTGAAAAGTTAACAGTAAGGATGCACAATATTGGCATGCCACTGACATCAGCCGATATTGGCTTTAAAATGAAATACAGGAATTGGCTAACAAGCTGATAATACCAGTACGCCATTGGTATCAGCCAATATCAGATTTAAAATAAACTATCGGAATAGACTAATATAGTTTTTGTTTTTTTTGCACAATGAATAAATAGCATACATTGAAAAGTATTCTATTTCATCCAATATCATGCATCCCTACTTGAAAGTTACCATACTATTTACATTTACATATCTATGGTATTAAAAAACACCGCTGCACAGTGAATCACACCTTTATTTTAGCTATTTTCAAAGGGGAGATTTATTACACATCATTCCATTAAAAAATAGTTTCAAGTTTCATAAAACGTTTGTTCAACCAAACAAACTCCCTTTGTTTTCATTCATGTAAGGGTGATGGTTACTGATAGTGACAACGTGATACCGCGATATTTCCTGAGGCTATTGTGGTACCGTGAAAATCTCATACAGCAGCTCTAGTTACATGTTTGTTTCTCGTGGGAAGTCACAAGCCTGGCTGAAAGTGAAAGCCACTCTTACCAGCTGTTTTAAGTCCTCTTCAGAGAGTCCTGCATAGCGATACCGCTGCTGTTCAAACTCATATCGTGTAGTCTTTGTAACCACTGCGACTTTTTCCGGTTTGAATCCAGTTTTCGGCTGCGACGAGGTGTTGCATACTGACGTGTGGAGGAGACGAAGCGAGTTTCCATACAGCAGCCGGACAGCTCGATTCCCAAGACAAACCAAGTTCACCACTGAACGACGAGTCATTCTTGTAAGCGAACACAAAACCATAAGCCCAATTACATGTCCGATGAGAAGTGCTGAATGGGGGCTGTGCTGTTACGTAGCTGTCATCCTGGGTCATATGTCAGTGCTCTGGCCACATGGAGTCTTTGTCCATTCACAGAAGTGAGACACACACCCAGCTACCAAGGACGGTCACCAGGTCCAACAAGCTCTTCCCTAGCTATTAGGTGACCAGTTTTTAACTTTAAGATATTACTTTCAAAGCCAAATGTTTCCCAGGGCAATAACAAAACTGCAAGAACAACAGCTAACTCGTTTTAAACTAACGGTAGTTACCCTGATAGCCGTATTAGGTAAGGTTAAAAGATAGCGTTACCAGCTGAGCTTACAAAGCTAAATGTAGCTAGCAGTTTGCTCACAGGATGTGAGCGAGTGGTCCTGCATACCACAGTCCCGACTGGGTTTACTCCAACCGCACACCGCACTGAAGCTGTGTCGCACTCCTCTGGGCCAAAAGGTTTAAACACGAGGTGAAACACATGGGCAGGTGAAGAATAAACGACAACACAAGAGAAGACTGGTCACACCGCACGTACCACGCAACCTGGTACGAACCCTCGCTGCACATGCGTTACGTAGGGTTTCTTCTGATTGGCTACGGAGCTGTGACGTTTTGTTTTGACTGCTGACCTGCTGCTCGTGATGCATTCACTGACACAATAAAGACTGGACAAAGTAAAGAACAATTTACCAGAAAATTCCGTTAATTCCAGTATTGAGTGAAATATATATTTTTTTGTTTTTCATTTTTATTACCTTTATTTTATCAGGAATATTCTCACTGAGATTCGTAATCGCTTTTTCAAGGGAGTCTTCACCTAGACAGCAGAATACAAAGTTTCATATAGAAGGACAAAGACTACAAACACTACATCAAACAGTTAAAACAAACATAAAAATGACCCCCAAATATAGGCCCAAACGTGGCTGGAACCAGGTTTTTAGAAGTACTGAAGTCACGAGTTTTAATTGACATTATAATTTCTCATACTTTATTTGCTTAGTTAGGTGTTCAATTGCATTTTGTGTAAGTTTTATTTCCCAACATGAATGTCTAAAGCAGTGGCAGACCTAGCACATTTGGCACCCTAGGCAAGGCATTATTATTGTTGCTGTTGCTGTTGTTATTGTTAGTAGTAGTAGTAGTAGTGTGTTAGCTAATGAGAAATGAACATTAATAAATAACAAACAATAAAAGAATACAGTATGTGCAAATTTGCTTAACCGCCTGTTGTCCATAGGAAGATCCAGCAGTGGTCTAAAGACTGTATCAAAGCCCCCTTTACAGTGCTGGAAATACAATTCTAGTTGAGAAACACTTCATCCTGTCTGTATTTATTTGTTTACTAGCCAAACGTCACATCTTAATATATTAATTCTAAAAATATTGAATAGCCTATAGAATAGCCACCGTGTTTTTGTTTTTTTAACTGTAGAATGTGAACTACTCACGCAGAAATTCCCAGTAAGGCCATAACCTCAGTGTCCTCAATGGAAGATATGGCCCTTAGCCAAAATACACAGTGTTTCAGTTTATGTCAGGTAAATCAACATTTACCACTGTTTTTCTTATTCCATTTAAAGAAGTGTGTTTGATTTGCATGAAAATATTGACTCGTGACTTGTGTGATACTCAGTAACTGTACATGTAAATGTGAAGGTGTAACCAGTGGTGTTAGTAGCTGATGAGGTGGGTGTACTACTACATAGATAGATAGGTTACCAAGGAGGTCGTGAGTATATTCTTCTATATATTCCAATGGCTTTTTTGGCTGATAGGTGTGTATACTGTAAACGGCCAGAAAACGAGGTGGGTATATCCTTTATACCTGCGTATATCCTCCACTACACCACTGGGTGTGATTGTTAAAAGCTGAGGGAAAGGGCCCAGTCTGTTCTACAGCTGACATACAATATTACAAGAAATGTTGGGCCGTAGACCTCCACTGAGGCAGGAACTGGTCCCATACAGCAGTCACAACATGGGTCAGAGGGTAGACAACAACTTGCATTCACTTATAGATAGTTCAAATAGTTTTAAATAAATCAACTATTATGACTTGTCACCATTTTTTCTTCACACTAGCAATACATCCGTAAATACATCTGAGACAGTAGAGGTCAGAGTATCCTCATAAAACAGGTGAAGCCTGTGTGGCTCCTGAGAACAACACAAAACACATTAAGCCATGGCAGCTGAATGGCAAGGAAACTGCATTCATGTCTGGTAATTTCTCTTAGGTGTAGAATTTGCTTGTAGCATTACGTGTGATAGAGTTAAATCAGGCCACAATCCCCTCTGAATCTGTTGTAAATTAGAGTAGAAATTGACTGGTAAAAACATTTAGTTTGTTGGCTTTGTGTTTCCAAGCTTAATTTCTACAGGTTATAGCTATAATTCTGCGCCCATGTTTAACTACTTTTCTGCTACAAAGTGTGGTTGATATTGGTAAAAGCAGTGTTCATTCATCTTCATCTTCTAACCGCTTCATCCTCTTGAGGGTTAAAAGCAGTGTTGTTGTTTTTTAATAATGAGAATGTCTGATTAACTGGTAACTTACATAATTCTAGGAGTACGTGAATCCAAACAACCTCACAAAGCCCCATGTTCTTTGTACACAGTTGCCTGGACTCAGCCAGGGCTTACTGTGGACACAGTTATGCAATGACACAGAGGCATCCTACATGTGAATCACTGGGTCAGGAGTAGATGATCCTGAGCAACGGCAGTTGTATCCCCAGTGTAATATGTGAGACCTTTTGTGGTTATTTTAGTTAAAAACCGAAGCAGGAATTACCAACCAGGTACAGAGAGGTTTTTCATTTCCCACTACTGTGACCTTGTTAAAATCTGTAGCAGATTTAACCTCACAACTCTGTCATAGCACAGAGGCACTTCACAGTTCTTTACACAAAGTAAATATATGAATTACAAGATCATTTTAAAATAAAATTGAAAGGAAGATAAAAACAATTACAATGAAATTATGAAATAAAACAGAGCTCTAAAAGCCCAAGGTTCACCATTTGTCAGCTGGTTTTGGGAATTTGATTATTTGCAAATTTGTTTGGCTTCTCTCTAAAATACAATGTCAGGCTGGTTTTGCAATAAAAGGTCACTGTTTGACTGTGTCTGGTATAGAGGGGCCCTGTGTCTCAATTTGTTTTGTTGTTTTGTTTTGTTTTTGTTTTGTATACATACATAAATGTATGTGCATATAT